TAAGCGGCCGTGCAATGGCTTCACCGACCATTGTGCCTTGTCCTGAGGAGGAGAGATAAAAGCATTACCTCAATCTGTTCCTTTGGCTCCTTCTGATAAGATAAGGGAGGTCACATTGGTTGTGTGAACAGAGTGTCTCTAGTTCAGCAGCCTTTTATCTCAGCTTTGTTTAAGCTTGGTTGGCTTTTTTTTTCCCCCCACAGTTTGTATTTTGGACAAAGTACGTACCTTTTGCCATCTGCCGGCTCAGATGCTAATGATTTATTCACCGTGATTGTCGTTCTCCCAGATGAGTCTGGACTATTTATAAAGCGTTTTGTTGTTGTGCCTCGTCTGTTGTGCAAAATTCAGCTTTCTCATTCTTTACAAACTGCACTTATGAATGATGCCACTACTTGCTGCTTTTCTGATGCCTCTTCCAATCTATTTTAAATGGCTGTAGAATTGACGCATTTGGTAAAGTGTTTTCGGAAATCATTTAATTTCATGGACATTAGAAAGAGAAAATGGTGGCTTCATCGTAAACCCCTTTGTCTGCTCCGGCACGTCTGAGAATTCCTGGATATATTATCTGTCTGGCTGTTGTGGCTGAATTCAGTCCAGGTCAATCACTTGCTCGTACACACACACACACACACATGCGTGTGAACATGCAGATAGTGCTCTAAACTGCTGAATCTCGTCTTCCCAGGCCTCTGGCTCTCTGTTCACTCTGCCTGCCCTGGCTGAATCCCCTGCCTGGCATCACATCTGTGGCTCCTTGGTCTGAGGATATGTGCTGTCTGGAGCATAAAGGCTTTTTTATGATGCTGGGGATGAAGCAATAAGCGTATGTGCAGATATTTTCAGCGAAAGGCACTGCAGACTTCAATGAAAAGAGCTGATTACCATTTTCTCACATCTGAAATTTCAAAAGACCACACCTTTTGATTCAGGTGCAGACAGGTCGTCGTCAGAATTACAGCATCAATGTGATTTAAAAAGAGCTTCAGATTCTAAGTGTCGGTTTTTCATAAGAAACAGACAGATTTTAAACAAAGACACTGATCGTCATGACAGAAATTCCTTTGTGCAGTGCATCTGCATGGTTCAAGCATGTCGTTTTCAGGGCCAAGCCATCTGGCTGGCCGCAGTGCTGACTATGTGTGATTTTGGCCATTGTGGACGGTTGCAGGCTCTCTGGTCTGTTTATTAAAGAACGGAGAAGCAGCGTGTTCCCTTTTGAAATTAGTGCTTCTTTTGTGTTTACTCAGTAGTGTTCGACCGCAAGGAAATTAGCAACAGTGCAAAAGAAAAAATGTAAATTGCTTTAATATGTAGCTCAGCTTTGGACTAAAACAAACAAGTGCAAGTTAAATCTATCATTTTAAAGTATCATTGCCCAAAATATTGCTCGTAAATTGGAACCAGCATCAGATTCTCTGGACATTAAAACTGAAAATAATGTGCAGCGGCGACCTACTGCTACATTAAATTACAGTAGAAGCACTTAGTGTCTTGTATGTCTTCAAATATAGATTTCATCTATATAAGTTTAAAAAAAAGCGCACTAAAATCTTAAAATATGGTACATTAAATTGTGCCACTTCTGTCCTGTTTAGCACCAGAGCCCAGTTTTTTTTTTCAGTTATTAAGGAGAACTACACTCTGACATCAACATAAAGTCTTGTCGCTCGTATTTTTGTAGTGTGTTTAAAAAAAAAAAAAAAAGTTCTGTAAGAGTAAGACTAATGGTCTTATAGCAACATCTTTTGTGATTTAAAATGACTGACAGTCACCATTCAGCACCCACTGCACGATTTCAGCACATAACTGATTTGTGTGGACGAGCTTGTAAAGCCAGCCAGTCAGACATTTGTCAGACGCGCAGTTGTGAACTAAAATGTAATGAGTGGGCAGGTCTGGTCCTTTTGAGTGCTCTGATTAAACAATGGATGCTGCTCGCCACTTCGCATGCAGACAGCGATGTCCTGTTGTACAAAAAGCAACATATCTGGAGTCTGATTAACTGAGACTGTGGGCTTTGCCTCGAGCTTTTTCATATGCTAAATGTTTCTTTAATTATCAGATAAATGAACTGCCTATGTGAACTGAATGTTTCAGTAATGCTCAGTAGAATATTACGGTCTTCGAAGCCACATTTTCCACATTAAAAATGTTGCCGCGACATAACTGTCCCCTTGAAAATACTGCGAAGAAATGGCAACCCCATCTAACAAATCCCAATTTAACCCATGGGTGCATATATTGTTCTTGAGGGAGATGTCGCGCCACCGCAGACTGCTGCTATTAATGCATTACGGAACTAGTTAGCAATAAAACAATGTAGCCGAACCTCTTGATAGCAATGATAACATTTTAATTGTGTTGGTGATATATTACACCCTGCCATATGTGCCAAGGTCCTTGTGTGAGGGCATAACTGTCTGTGAAAAATAAGCCCTGTCAGCCGAGTTGATTGCTTGTTTAAAAATCACTTTTGTGCTTGTAGTTGTTGACAGCTCGGGTCACGAAATATATGATTTGTCAGGAAGAAAGATTTAACTGAAACATTGCTGGGGGTTTTTGTTTTTTTTTTCAGTTCCAAATTACCCTCTTTTTTTTTTCTTTGATATAAATCCTGAGTTTGGAACAAAGAAAAGACTGGGAGGAGAAGAATGAGGGATAAAGAGATAGATTGTCTGCTAAGATGTTTTAGAGTGAACAAAACGGAGAATTAGTGGGTGGGTAATATATCACAGAGTTCCAAAGTGTAATCAGGATCCCAGCTGGGGGTGTACCCATGCTCTGACCCTGTGAAACGACTTTGTCCTCTGCCTCATCATCATCATCAGTGAGGCTGGGAGATCAAAAAGAAAGTCTTTTTTTTTTTTTTTGCCTCTTTTTAAAACAGCACCGTGGATGTAATTGGCTTTGTTCCGATAACATTCACGCAGCTCGTCCCAGAGACGGCTGCGAAACCGCGCACTTCCTAATCAGATATCTGCTCTGCAATCAGGAGACAATCTTAATGACCTGTGTTAAATGCCAAATGCTCATTGTGTTCCATCCATTCGCATTCTGATCACAGCGGTTCAACCCCAAAAGTCAATGAAACAAGTTTAATCCATTTCACTAATGATCACTTTTTTTTTTCTTTTTTTTTGTCTTGAATCAAGTTGAATGAGACTTTGATTATCTTTTGTACGACCAGATCTGATGAACATCTTGATAAAGTACGTTTTTTGCAGGTTAGAGTGAGTTTTTTTTTTTTTGTTTGTGAAGTGTTGGTTTGCCTGACATCTAGACAATGCTCTATGGGGAACCTGTCTGATCTGGGAAGCTCAAGAGCGGTTGAAGGAATTAATGAGACACGCATTGAATAATTCATGTACATCAATAACATCTCATATTTCATTTGGATCGCCCGTGGCCAGGGACATTCATGGTAAAGTTAGTTTTAGACAGGTCTTTGTGTTTGTCCTCAGGTTTCCCTTCAGTTGTTTTTGATTGGGAGAGGCTGCCTCCTGTAACCCTGAAGCCTGCCCTACAGGAGCAACGATTTCTCAAGTAGCTTTTTTGAAATTTAGCAGAAGTCAAAAGAGGAGCGCCTTGAAATACCTGAGATACACCAAAACGGAATTACTAAGCGCTGTATGTTTGGCATTTCTCTCGAATCTTTCGCATACTGAAGGAATGCAACACACAACAAATTGGTTGAACAAAAAAAAAAAAAATAATAAAAGGCCGGTAAATTTTACGCAAGGTAGAGAAAGCGATTCTAACTCAATATGCTTTTTGTCAAATTCAGCAAATGTCTTCTCACGGTCTGGTGTTCATACACAGCCCTGGCTCTGCAAATGGCAACCAGACAAAAGTGCCTTGGACTGATCCGCACAACACTGTTCAAGCATGTCCTGTGCACACATTCGAGCTTACGGAAAGGGAGGCGAGGGGAGATGAGGGTAGGAGGGTAAATCTGCCACATGCTAGCTATCTGAATATGCAAACTAGCTAAATGTCAGCAATTTTGTTCCAGAGCTGCAGAGTCCTCCTTCCAAACTTGGTTTTAAAATTCAAGAATCTCTCTGCGACTTGGAAATTCGGGCCAAAATAAGCAACAATCGAAGCCGCGAGGTGATATTTATTGAGAGTGCTTCATCAGCACTGTTTCGGTTCCTCTCTGATTAGTGCAGGAAGTCACATAAAGTCACCATTTCCAACCGTAAAACTAACTTAATGCAGCAACGATAGTATAACTGCAGCTGTGAGATAAAAACGAATATGGACATCTCTCATGAAGCAAACCACAACTTGGCGAAAAAAAACAATAATAATAGTGCTGTTGTTGTTAGTCTCCACCGTTCAATGAGAGAAGCTGATTAAGAAGATGTGTTTTCAAGGCCTTTAATCATCGAATGGGACCAGGAGGAAATAATAGAAAAGCCACACATTATTGTCATCACTTTATTTATCAAGAGGCAATTTTGCTTTTAGCTCCGCACACACTGGTGCTCCGCGTCGTTATTGTTTCTTTGTACGTATGATTGAGGTAATTATGGTGTTTGCAGCTCCTCTGCGACCTCTAAATTTAACAGACTACAAGTACAAAAGCAGCAAGAGTTTTTTTACTTGTTGGTGCCTTTTTTCTGCTGCGTGAAAGAGAAATTTGATTTATCCTCGACTCTCCTAATTGCATATCATGTTCTCCACAAAGGTTGTAGCTCTCTGTCTTGTCAGAATTCTTAAATTATAGAATTGTGGAAATGAGCAGCCCTTTAATGGGGAAGGCAATCTCAGCCTTCTCTACATCTATTGTTGCAGCTATAAAAACGGGTCTTCTGCTTCTACAAAAGGGCGATGAGTTTATCTTTTGACTCTTTTTAGCAACACTTCAGCTACAGCGTCGCTTAAAAGCCCTGCACAGTTCTGGGATTTACTGCTTTTTTACTGACTGTACTTTCGGCTGAACATTGTTTATCGCTAATATTTTCCACTTCGTCTCACGTTTCCTTTCCCAGACATGGAACTCGATGTGCAGGAGAAGTGGCGGCCGCAGCCAACAACGGCGTGTGCGGCATAGGTGTGGCCTACAACGCTAAAATTGGAGGTGAGCGAAGCACATCACTGATATTTTTAATTAGGCACAACATTTAATTTGTATCTTATTAATTTAAATGAGATGATTTAATTAAAAATGAAACGCATAATAAAATTCACATTCAAATGAATTTCTCCCCATCTAGGATCCATGTAGTTTGAGTCACTTTTACAGGAGCCGTGTCTTTGCATTTTTATGAAAGTCCCAGTGATAGAAGATTTTAAAGCCGATATCCATAAGGTTTTTTTCCGGACCATTGGCTGTCATTTACTGACTGATTGACTCTGTATTGTTCAGACGTGCAGGTGAGAGTGCGAGTGCAGAGATGGGCAGTCGCATGCAATGAGTAGTTCTGTGCACCAGGGAGAAAAGCTTTTGATCATTCGCTGCAGTTTTCTTTTTTTTTGTCTGGAAATAAGCAGAATATGGCTTCACTGAGGATGCCATGTGCCTATAAAACAAAAGCATGACTCCTGTTTGTTTGTCTGTTATGTCTAAATGCATCTATGACAGCGTGAATCTGGATTTATTATTTTGTATAAGCACACTTTAGAAGTGCACCTGCCTCTCTTTGGCTGCTAGCCAGAAACTCCAGTCTGTCTTTCTGCAATTAGGTAAGAAGCAAGTTCAATTTTTAAAGTGTTTAGTTGAGTCCTTTTTTTAGTATTACCTGCAAGTTGATGCCAAGAAAACCCGAATGCACAATCCAGGATACATCCATTCATATTACTGTGTAAATCATAGGCCTAAAAATTTGGTCAAAATAAGATTGTTTGGGCAGACTCTTGTTTAAACAGTAATAAAACTGTCAGCATGTGCAGATGTGCATTGAGTAAGAAGATATGTAGCGCAGTCCTGTTAAATTAAACTCGAGACAAATGTAACAAATCAAGTCTGAAAGGATTTTTCTTTCTTTCTTTCTTGTCTCCTGCAATTTTTTGCACTTGATGAAGTATTCCAAGGTGGCTTTTAGTAACTTTTGTCATCAAACAATCTGTCAATGCCATGACGGCAGCCAACAAGACTCAGCGGAGCCTGCGGGGCTCTGAGCAGTCCCGTTCACAGATGTTACTCATAACTCTCCTTCTCTGTCTTCATTACCATTCATCTCCCGACAGAGCCGCACATTGGCCCTGTTCTCCCAAATTACTCCTCTGTGAATCTGTTCACGTCACGGGGTCAGCGGATTGTTTATAAACAGCTGTGATTTGCTCCCAAATGCTCGTGCTATGTGTGTGCACGTGCGAGCCCAAGCAGTCGTGTTTGTGCACTTGCAAAAATGCATGTTTCCGTCCAGAGTAGTGATTAGTGATAAGTGTCTAAAGCCTGTAATTGACCCCACTTGGCTCACTCTGTGTTTCCTTTCCACCTACTGTAAGAGTTTTCCCTCCGCCTGCACACACTCCCGCGGCTGCATCCCTACCTGCTACCTCTGACTTAGTGAAGCTGCGGGAAGCTCGCGCAGCAGTGTCTTAATAAGGAACCGTCAAGCCACAGGGCGTTGATGAGAATTGTTACGACAGTAATTATCATTACCGCTGCAGTGCAGCCTTCGCATAACGATCACCGAGCAAACGTGCTTTATGTTGCATGTTTACCCCAGTTAAGTTTGTTTCAGGCTACTCAGTATTCAAACTTGTGTTACGCCAACAGAGTAATTACTGCTTTGGCCACATCCCCACTGGCATGTGTTTGTGCCTGCAGGGCCAAGCAGGTTGTCTAGAATGTATTATTTAAGTCTTAATGTGGACGTCGCCAGTCATAGTGTTGGTACTGAAGTCTGGGGGTCCTCTACCAGTAATGGGCCCTATTTGAGGGTGGTTCATTTCACGCCTCTCTACAGCCATTAATGTTCAGAGGGGTGATCTGAGGCTGCTCACTTCAAAGGCTCAGACAGGGTTATGTTCAGGTATGATGAAAGGTGACATTCGGTGCTACCCTGTGGACACACCGGTCTGTTGAAGCCTCTGTAAACTCACAGTTCATTTCTGTCGGCGTGTGTGTGCCTTTCTCTCGTCTGCAGTCTGTTAGACTCGTCTACTCGTCCTCTCTGTATGGTCAGCGGGGTCACAAATTTTGGTTTAACAAACCAGCTGGGTTTATGTTTATTTGATAGTTAAATAGTGTAGTACGCGTCAGAGCAGCATCTGTGGGGAGAGCCTTGTGTGCGCACTCATTAAAACTAGAACTCTGTGAAGTCTTTGGTTTCTCCTGTGAAGTCTTTTGTTTCTCCTGTTGCTGTTTTGTTTCTATTTTCTTGTTGTGCCTTAAGATGAAATAAGAATTTGCGTTCCAACCCATTTCTCTGTCTTTTTATGATAATTTTTCTCATTTTACTGTCTCTTGCTGTTGTTTTTCTGTCCCTTGGGTTTTGTTTTTTTTTTTCATTTCTTTACACATGTGAAGCTAAAATTCCTACACTTAACCATCTGTCATTTCCTTACTCTTTCTGTACCTCTTTTCTTGTTTGGTGATCCGATCTGCAATGCGCTCTTTTAACAGGAGTTCGTATGCTGGACGGGGAGGTGACAGACGTGGTGGAGGCTCATTCTCTGAGCCTCAACCCTCAGCACATCCACATATACAGCGCCAGCTGGGGCCCAGAAGATGACGGCAAGTCGCTGGACGGCCCTGCCAAGCTGGCCAAGGCAGCTTTCCTCCAGGGAATCACAAAGGTCAGTAAGCGCAAGCTTGAACTTTTCCTCTACTAATTTCTTCTGTTTCTTATTTATAGTATCACTATTAATCTCACATCAGCTCCTGAATGTAATAGGTCAACGTTTTGGGAGACATTTAATCATTTTCTTGCTAAAAGTTAAATGAGAAGGTTTATTCTGCCAGTTCGGTCAGCTTAGCATAAACACTGGAGACATTGTGAAATAGCTCACCTACTTCTGTCTAAAGGTAGCAAAATCTCCCTGCCAACATCTCTGCAACATTTTGTTTAATGCATATTTACTTTTAAAAAGCTGACACGTTGTAGGGGGAGGCTGTTTTTTGCCATGACTGTGTCAACGTCTGCTCCCCTTCACACAGTATTTCCTTTGCCATGGCTCTCTGTAATGACAAATTCTGAAGATAAGTGGCTGGAATTTACTGGGTGGGATTAGGAACCGGTTTGGGATCGGGTTAGGATGGGAGACCAGTGACTTTCTGAAATCCCAGCACAATTTAATTTTTCAAATGAGATACAAAGTGTTATTCTGTAAGCTTTAGAGGCGCTGGTAGGTGGATAGAGTTAAGTTTGAATAGAGTTGGACGAGCTGTTTTCCCTCCTTTCCAGTCCTTATGCCACACTGAGTGAGGAGGCAGTTGACTGCAGCTTCATACATATTTACTGTATGGACTTGAGAGTCGTATTGATCCGCTCACCAAACTCTTCGCAAGCAAACCAATAAGTGCATCTCTCAAAATGTTGAACCATTCCTTCAAAGCAGGCGACATATACACACAGCAATTTCTCTCATGTCAGCAACAAAGACCGTTGGAAAGTTTGTTGTTCAGCAATATTTAATCATTCCTGTTACATAAACTGAAATCGGAGAAAGCCTGCACGTTTTTCCACCCAAGCAATCACATTGTTTTGGTATTGAATGGGACGTGACGCACTGGAAAAGGACAAACTCAAGGTGAGTTTAATTGCCCGCTGACTGGTCTTTTAGGGTTGGGTAGAATGAAACATTAAACTGTATGGGATATTTTCTGCGTCTAATGCCGTCATTTCTCATGTGTCAGCGCGCCACATCAAAAGATGTTAGCAGAACAGCTAAATGATAAATGTGAGATGGGAGAAAATAGAAACGGAGCAGCAGCAGCAGCCCCTGATGCAGAACAATAGTTAGATTCAAAGGCAGCAGTAATTGGCGTGTAAATGAATGAAGCTGCAAAAATTCTGTGGAACGGTGTGATTCATATATCACACCCCAAAATCCGAGACGCTCCATATATCACGGCGTTTCAGAGGAAAAATTGTCTGACAGCAACACAACAGGACTTTTCTGGTTCAGCGTGTGTTTTTCTGGCAGCCAGATAACCCTTGGCACTCAAGTGTTATCGTCTGGCCTCTCTAACCTGCAGCAAAAGCAGCGTCGCGTCATAAATTGGGCTGGAAGGTTTAGGAGCATTACGTACAGCTCCGAGACTCCACTGTTAGGATTCAGAGAACATCAAATATGGAGCAGGAGCATATTTGTTCCATCTTCTAAGGAGAGATCATTTGTGAGATGGAGGGCTGTAGGAATCCATTAAGAAAATTAAATAGATAATCCTTTTAAAAACACTCTGAACAAGCTCATTTAAAGTCTGTGTTCGGGTGCAATTAAGGTCTTTTTGTACACTTATGAGCTTAACATTTCTCCGATTAGCCACGCCAGGGAAGACTGTGTTGCAGTCGCAGTGATAAAGAAGCGACTCTTCCAGTATCTTTGATTTTGTCAAAGCTGCAAGCACCACCAAGATACTGACGGGGGTTTTTTTTTTTTCGCAACTAAGCGAGACTCAGGCAGGCAGAGAGCAGAACAGACAATCACAATCTTTAACAATAGCTAAAGAAAAACATTCCTGCATTTTTTTTTCCATCAAAGACTAAAAACAGCATTTTTTTTTATATCCCCTGTGTTGCTTTGTGTATCCGTGGGTGATGTGGTATACATCTGTTTTTTTTTTCTCACCTTATTAATTTCTGCATTGCTTTTAATTGTGTTGTTTTCCTGCTCTCTGTATGTGGGATGCAAGACAGGTCCCTCTTCTTTCTTTTATCTCCTTCCCTCATCGCATCAATGGTATATATATATATATATATATATATATATATGGTATATTATTTATATATATATTGTTCTTGTTTTGTTCTCCAAAAGGAATATGTTATCCACCCCCTTGGTTCAAACTGGAGGTGGAAAGAGAAGTTTTTCTCTCTCACTTTTTCTGGACATCACAGCGCCTGAGTTGCTGCTTTCACACTTTGATAGAAGATTCAACTTGAAAAATGTTTCATTGATTAATTTCTATTTTTTTTTTTTTTTGACAGGGTGTAATGAATACTTAATAGAAATGTGAGTAGTGAGTGAATGATAATAATGCCTTGACTTATTGAGCATTATGTTTGAAATATGAATGCTTCTCTGGAGATCAAAGACAAAGACATAATAAGGTTTAACAAAGAATAAAAGATACCTGCAGCTGATTTTTTTTTTGTTTACACAAATAAAAATACATTGACGCATGTTAGCAGATGTGAAGCCAATGAAAGCCAATTAGAAAATAAGTCAGTAAGACCTCAACCAAAGGACACCGAGGTCGTTCTTCACCCAGAGGCTGTTGGAGAGCTGTGGAGACCTGACAGCAGATGCCCCGCTGCCCTCTGTCTCCGTCTTCAGCCCGGCCCCAGGGACAGTCAGCAAGAGCTGGTCAGCAGACCTCAGGCTATAATCAGCAACATGTTGATAGAGAGAAGGTCAGCAGTGTAGGAAGAGAGCCAGCCGACCCTTGCTTTAAAAGCAGGAAAAATCGATTCCAAAGGCCCTCAGTAACCAGAGCAGGGAGGTCGAAATTGAGAAAATTTGCACAAATATTCTGCAATTTGTGAGCATCGTGGCAGCTGTGTTTTGCACCGGCTAAAAGCAGCCTGGGTCTTTCCATCTTTCCAGCAAATAAGGAGTTACACTAATCTAATCAGCTGAAGACAAATGCATGAATAAGGGTTTGTGTGTCTTGGAACAAATGGAGCAATCTAATCTTGGTGGTGTTCCTGAGGTGACAAAGGACACCCTTTGTTACTTTGCTAAAATGGTTGGTGAAATTTTAATCCGAGCCATAAACCATCTCAAGATCTGGAGCCTGCTGTTGGCTTTCCAGACCCGACCGGACTAAATGTATGTCTCGTATGCTGGGTGTGTTTCAGGAGGCTCAATCTCACTGCCACATATTATGTTGTCATTTATCAGCTCAGAAATTATATTCAGCTTGAGTAAATTTGGTAATTACATTTCTTCTGTTTGTTATCTGATGTTCTGCCGCAATAAGTCGTCTGACATTATGATGTATTAATAAGAGCTGTGCCTACAGCGGTTCAGTGTTTCTGAAAGAAAAGCACATAAATGACAAGGCGTTTAAGCAGTGAGACAAACGTCTTTGTCAAAGGCAATTTTTCACACTTTAACCAGCTCTTGTTAGCCTCTTTCTCTTAAACTCCCCTATTCCTGGATTCCTGCTCAATGAAGATATATACAGACAGGTGACAAATTAAATTAAAGTATAAACCCCTGACCTCAACAGTGAGGAGATTTAGTGGCTCTGTTATGATGTAGGGAGCATTTTGCTGGCATGGTTTGTCCTCTTTGAGGGAAGGGTAACTGCAAATCAATACAAAGTTGTTCTGAGTGATCACCTTTGTCCAGTGATGAAACATTTCTATCCTGATAGGAGTAGTCCAGTGCAGGATGTGTATAGATAGGGAACGAGGGGTCACTCAATGATTTGATGAGTTTGACCATTATGTAAATCCTATACTATGGCTTTCAGTTACCAGATCTTAACCTAACTGAACATCTTTGGGAGTTTTTGGACCATCATCAGAGTTCCTTGTAGAAACACTGCCAAAGCGCATTGAACCTGGAAACCTTACTAAAACACTTGTTGTTGGTTTTTCCTTTAATTTGTCGCCCCCTTTGTATGTTTCTTTACCACAGGGACGCAGCGGACTGGGCTCCATCTTTGTTTGGGCCTCGGGTAACGGTGGCCGGGAGCAAGACAGCTGCAACTGTGACGGCTACACCAACAGCATTTACACGCTGTCCATCAGCAGCACCACACAGTCCGGTAACGTGCCGTGGTACAGCGAGCCCTGCTCTTCCACCCTCGCTACCACCTTCAGCTCTGGAAACCCGGGGGAGAAGCAGATAGTAGGTGTACACACACACACACACACGTGTGTTCAAAGACACTTTGAACATCTCAGGCTGTGTGTAGGATTGTTTTTCTGCTTTGAATCTTGAGCGCACTGTAAATGTCAAACTTCAAAAAATAACCGCACGCCTCACACTTACCAAAAGTTGATGCCGGGACATCCAGCAAGAACGCTTTTTTTTTGAGTGTACATTCACATTAATCATGTGTCTCTCAAATCAGAAATAGACATCAAACTGTCAAAATCACAGTGACTGATGTGTAACATACAATAAGAAAAGCTGACAAACACTGGGAGATGCCACATGCTTCCTTCAAGCTGCTTGTCAGCTGAAGAAAGACTTGCCTCAGGGACATAGAATAACATAAAACAACCATAAACCTGCCATTCTCTCCAAAATACACCAGAGGCATGCTGCAGGCAAGCAAACGCAACTCATCAAATGGGTGAAATTGAAGTCATTTTAAAATATACAGCAGCACTCAATTTGTATTGTTGCCTTCGCAGTGAGAGGCTGTCATTTGTTGTATCGAGGAGTTCACACTGTTTTCTTTTGTCCAACACTGGTATTTATGTTCAATTTGTCAATTTTTTTTCTGTGCGCTACATTTTCAAACCAGGCTCTCAAACAAATCCACCTCAAACTAACATGTAGCTCGTTTAGTGGACACATTTGGCCGCCTGTCATCTCTTGAGATTACTGATATAGACAACAAGAGCCAGAGAAACACAAACGTGAATTCCCGTTTCTCTAGCTACGCACAGTGGCACTGACTGCACTCGGCAATAATTAAACTTATCTAGTGTTCACACCTAGAAATAACAAAATGGAGCCATTTTCAAAATAAACACATTACCACCAAGTGGAAAAAATAGAATGTTCTCTAATTGGCCCTCAAGGAGCTGTGCTTGATACGGTGTTATCATCACAGAACAACAGCAAATCGAAAAACTGCATTCTCACAAAATATGGGTTATTAATGATGAAAATGCGCCATTAGAGGATTGATTGTTGCTTTTATTACTGGATGCATAGTTCACTTTTTGTAATGTTTGAACTAAATGCTTTGGCAATTATGTTTGCAAAAGCAAAACCATTATCAGTGCAGGGCTGTAGCTGTTATTATTTTCAACATTAATTACTCCGTCAATCACTTTTTCACTCAATTAATTGCTTCAAATTCTTTTTTTCTTAGTATGAAATGTCAAAGTGTGTTGAAAACAGATATCACAAGTTTTCGGAGCCCTAGATTATGTTGTCAGGTCGCTTGTTTTTTGTTTTTTTTCCAGTTGACAGTACCAGAGCCCAAAATATTGCACATTGGAACGTCTGGCACCAGCAGTCTGAATTATATTTAATAAATGAGTTCACTAATCACTTGATTATTGAAATTAAAATAAATGATTACAATTATTTTTGGTAATTAATTTCTCTGATCGCTTGATCATTAAAATGATTGACTTTAATTATTTTCTAAGCACCTCATCTGTGGAATATGAGTGTTTCAGTGTTGTTCTGTCCAGTTCAGAGACCTAACAGGTGGCCTGTGCACACACCTTCCCTCCTTTTGTTTACTCCTCTGACACGCCGACATCTTTCCACAGATAATGGTCATTAGTGCCACAATCTGTCAGACCAAACGCTGCAAACCCAAGAATCTGTCCCTAACCTTCACAGCCCACCTTGCTTCTGGCTTCTTTGTCATTTCTGACATGTCCTCCTCATGACCCAGACAGACCTCATTAGCTTTCTGGCACTGGCAGAGACCGAGAGCAGAGGTGTACCTAGAGTGCTAACATACTTCGTCTCAACACCGCCCGACCTGGACCGGGCTGATTTGGCTGACATTCACTGCCCCGACTGTGACCCGTCTGGCAGCCATCCACAGACCTGAGACTGAACTTACTCATTCTTTTTTTTCCTCCTCCTTTTTCCTCCTCCTCTTCCTTCCATCTCAGATAGCTGCAGGCAGGGCTCCCATTGTCTCGGCCGTCCCCTGTCTAACACGACTTCTCTCACCGTGAACTTCACTCATGCTGAAGTGGGAAACTCAATGTGTCATGTTAACTGTGTCTCTCCTTCTGTATTTATGTGCTCTTCTCTCTCTTCTCTCGTCTCCAAGGTGACCACAGACTTGAGGCAAAAATGCACAGACTCTCACACAGGGACGTCCGCTTCAGCCCCGCTGGCTGCCGGCATTATCGCGCTGGCTTTGGAGGCCAAGTGAGTGCAAACGACCGACTTTTCCTATAACCACGGAGCTATTTTTGTCCCACCTTGTACCCCTGTAGCTACAGCGCTTTGACATTCGAAAATCGTGAATGTTAACCTTTTTTTTTTTTTTTTCAGTTTCATGTTATTGTAAACTTAATCAGTTATGCCCCGCTGTGTACTTGAGGGGGGAGGTATGTGCATGTGTGTCTATGTGGCATGCGCTCACATCTGGAAATGCACCTCTGGGAGTCGGCATTGGCCTAAATCCCTGCCCGGAAATTCTTTCCACAGCAAATTAAGCTTTTGATAATCAGTTAATTAGCAAGACAAATCAGCAGCTGCAGCCCACACAGACATCTGAATACCTGTAGGGCCGCTAGTGAAGATTTTAAACTCAGGACTGTCTCTCATTATTGCGCAGTCAGGACTCGGTGTGTCAGAATCCAAGTTCCTGTCAGCAGCTCTAATGTGTTCTCCATTATGGTCGTATCTGTAGTCGTATCTCGCATGTGTTAAGTCAGCCTTATCAGCGAGCAGTCCTCCACTTTGCATAATTCTCCTCATTTCCACGTTGGCGATTAGCTGACAGGTGTCAAATCATGTGTCTCCAGCCTGGTTTCAGCTCAGGTATGTATCCTCAGTCCCCCGCCGGTTTATCTCAGCTCTGTCACCTATGATATCCTCGGGGATGGGCAGCAACTGACAGAGCTCAGGCTTTTCCTGTGTAGACTGTCTCTCACTTTTAACACCAAACCAGAGTCAGTATTTGTCAGTGAGCAGCCTCCTCCCCCTTCCCCTGCACCCCTCCTGACAGGCAGCAGTAATAACAGTGTAGCTAGTTTATCAGACTGGGACCACACTGGAATTCACAGAGATGGAATCATTTAATAGGCAGAGCGTTTTGGCTTTCTGGTGCTATTATTTTATTATTTTCCCCCTTCGCTCTTGGCTGAGGTGACATTGAGTGGATCGTGGGGATCTTGTCCATTAATAACACATGAGACGATGTGAGATGTGAATGCTGATGTGGAGAGTGGCGGAGGTGATGCACCACAGTGCAATTCTGTGTTTCTATTTCTGTCGACTGTGGTGTTGCACTCCGAAAGCTCTGTGATTCATGGTTTGATTATTCTAACCCACGGAACAGTTTCTTCTCGTGGCCGATTTTAAAGGTTTCTCTTGACGGATGCTCACTATTGTGTCTTATAATAAATCTATGTATAAAGGAAACATTTTTACCCTTTCCCCGAATCCCAGACCTCATTAGAAACTATCATTACGGAGAGGTCTAGACACAGTCCTCCATGGTACTATATCCACTGCTTTACTGTGTTCCCTGACCTTTCAACACAATAGGTTATGATGTACCTCTAATGCTGGTGCTTTACGCCAATGTTAAAACTTTAATGTGAGTCATAACCTTTGTTATGGTTGACTGGCACACCCCTCAGGGTTTGCTCCATGTCTCAGTATAGTATTTCAAAAATGTATTGCCGACCTCACTATATGTGCTCAGATGGATCCCATTTCAGAAGTGTCTACAGACTCCTGACCTTTTCCGAGTCCCATAACTCCTCATATTTCCTCTGCTGTATTGTTGTACAGTCGAGGTCAGCGAAACCTGACTTTTCTCATTATGTGCACGCTGTAGAAATTAATATGGCAAGCTATTACATGACAGGAAGTCAATATGAATACGTTGCTTTCCTTCCTGCGTCTGTGCAGCATGAATCTCACCTGGAGGGACATGCAGCACCTCGTGGTACGAACATCACAACCCGGGCACCTCAGCGCCGGAGACTGGAAAACCAACGGAGTGGGACGCAGAGGTAGAGACGGGCTCAGATCATTAGTCCAAATCAAGCACAGATGTTGTCATATGGCATTATGTTTGTTTGCCAATCCTGAGCACAGGAAATGATTTTTTGAAAGCGCATAAAGCGTGTTTGAGCACACAAACATCTGTTCTGTGCTCAAGAAGCATATTTGCTTGTTTGTTAGTATCCAGATAAGCATTACTTTAACTAGCTGGTTGGCTTGATCATTGCTAGCTACACAGGCAGAACATCAAAATCCCAAATCCAGCTGGAATTGATTTGCATGTTTTTTTGTTTTCCTGCAGTGTCATTCAGTACATCACATGTCCTGTGTTCTCCTCTGAGGAAAAAAAAAAATCACAAACCACAAGAGAGAAATTGACTTTTTAGATTTTACGGTTTCATGTTGCCACCCACGAGTTCTGCATTAATTTGTATATGATTACTTTGTGTTGTCTTCATTGGAGAACTTGTATCCTTACAACCATTAAAGGAAATCATACTCAGATAATCCATATTTTCAAAAAAAAAAAAACACAACCAGACAGCAGCCTATCACAGAACACAAGACACACAGACTTCCTGTATTTTGCTCCCGAGCTTGTTTACAGAGCCACGGAACAAACATTTACCCTGGAAAAGTGTCCTACTCAGTGTCACTCAGTTTGTGAGCTAGATAGCTGATTAATTGCTTAGCTGCAGCACATTAAACAGCGTGTAAACATATCTGCAAATGGCCATTTAGATGCCGAGGAGTGTACCACGAATTGAGATTACGGGGCTGGTGGGGTATGTTGAGCCCTAAAGCGCAGACTTTTCAATGTCATGAAGGTGCCTCTCTTTTTTTTCACCTGGCTACATCAGCTTTATAAGCGATGCTGTTTAGAGTTTAGGATGTAAATTATTCGTAAGAAGCTTCTCCTGTTCACCAGTTCTTCTCCTGACCATATTCTCCGCACAGATATAGATTCCCAGCATTAAACCTGTTGGGCTCTGCTGCACTGAGTGAATCTGTGCAGTTACAGTAGAAACCATATGCATCAGATGGTGACGGAGAAAATACATAAATTTGCTCTGATTTGCTGTCAAGCCCGTTTTACACTGCAGCTAATGGAACACGGATTAGGAAATCGATTAGTCTATTGGTATTCATCACAGAGAATATTCAATCAATAGCATTAACAAATGAGAAAAAATAACGTGAAAGATTTATATCGTCTTTATTTTTATCCTTTTATCCTGTTTATTAATATGCTTCATTTGTATGTAGCTGCTGTAACATGTGAACGTCCCCGGTGGGGGATCGATAAACTCATCTTAACATTCATTTCACGTTGATTTGGACAAAAACTAAAATGATTTCCACAAATGCCTAATTATGGGATAGTGTCAGACTTAAATTAGCCTCTTTTTTTTAACATCATGTTTAAACGTATGCTCCTGAGTGTTCAGTTTTAGAGCTATAACCTGCAGCTGTCATGCTAGAAATAACTGGCTGCAGAGTGGTAAAATAAATATACTCACTTACACGATCAACAATTTTACACCAGGCGTTCCTTTTCTTGCATCATTTGCAGTAACAGCGCTTTTTACCGTCATAAATTTTATTACTCCTCATAGCTCTCGATTATAACAACCTGTTACTCTTGACTGAAGTAGGCAGCATGCCATCGGCCCATTTTGTACAGTAGAAGGATCAAATGATGCATCAAATGCCTCCTTTTTATGGGAGCAGGCACAGAGGCCGATGACGGTAACCTGAGTCGACGAAGAAAGTTGATAACCACCGTCGTGATGGCCGTTACCTCCGACTGGGGTTTTAGGTTTTGATGAGCCAGCTAACACAAAGTAAGCCCGGCTATGTCAAACTGGCTTCATGGCACGACCCTGTGGTTTGGGGCCGACGACATGCTGTCTGCCGTTGTCTTTTAAACTACAAGATAAGTTTGTTTACTCAGTCACCTTCCTGGTCTTGGTCTGCCAGCTCTTGTCAATCAAACATAGACACCCTCCTCCAGCCAGCTCAGAAGAAAAGAAGGTTTTCTGACATTTCTACCCCAGACACTCCATTATAATAATATAAAAACAACTCACAACAAAACAAGTTTATATACATTCTTATTACCTACTTGGTGTCTGGCTTTAATGATGGCCCTGGTAAAGGTCTGCACTTTTGAAGGAACCACATTTCTAACTGTACACTCAGGACTGAGGCATAAATGCAGTATTGCTGGAGAGAGGATTGCTGATTGTCATTTCTGTCTCTCTGCTGTCATTTCACTGCCACCACCCACCACTGTGTCATTCACTCTGCATCCCTGCACCTTTTTTTTTTTTCTTTTTTTTCTCCACAGTGAGTCATTCGTACGGCTACGGGCTCCTGGATGCAGGTGCTATGGTGGCTTTGGCGCAGAACTGGACGTCAGTGGGGCCACAGCACCAGTGTGTTAACACAATGCTTACGGAACCGAGGTTAGAATGATGACTCGGAACCGTGTGTGTGCGTGCGAGTGTGTTTGTGTGCGAACTACAGTGAGTTTTAGTTTCATTACAAGCACTTGCTGTTCTATCATCCCTCTCTCAGCCTGATAGATGTCTCTGCATTCTCCTCGGAGCCGGGGCGCTTGCTTGAATTTGTAGCACAGTGCTATTGTCTGTGTCCGTTTCTGCAGCCACACAACATTAACCACTCTCCCCTCCACTTGTCAAACCTGCAGAGACATTGGAAACAAGCTGGTGTTCAGCAAGAGCGTGGATGCCTGCTGGGGACGACCGGAGTATGTCAGCTCTCTGGAACACGTTCAGGCTCGCCTCACTCTCTCCCACAACCAGAGAGGAAAATTGGCCATTCATCTCATCAGCCCACTGGGCACACGCTCCACCCTGCTGTTCCCGAGGTACACAGTAAAACACACCACACCAACAGTCGAGCCCTAATATAAATCTCTCTGTTTTGTTTTTTTATTATTATTATTCTGTGTCGCTGTGTCACACTCAGACAGACACAATGTGTGTGTATTTCAGTTTTAGTCATGCGCTCCCACAGGCATGCTCTTGGGGGAAAAAAAACACTCTTTCTGCATTCAAGCACAGAAGAAAAAAAACGGCAAACGTTCAGTCTTCTCCTCTTTTATTCAGACCCAATGACTACTCCTCCGAGGGGTTCAACGACTGGGCCTTCATGACCACCCACTCGTGGGACGAGGATCCTCAAGGAGAGTGGATTCTGGAAATAGAAAACGTGGCAGCTAATGGACGTGACTATGGTAACCCCACTCGTCATCACTAATTGTCCGGTCTTGTCACATCACATCAACCCGACGTCATTAGCGCCCGAACCCACTCAAGTCTCGTTGCATACTTTCTTGTTTCTCCAGATAGCCTCTCCTCGCTTCTTTTCTTTTTTCTTTTTTTTTTACTGTCTCATTCGTTCTCTAACGACACAGTTTGACACATTTTTTGTACCCGGGGGAGAGGCTCTCAGAAACACAAGCACATTAAAAGTTAACAGCCGCTGGGCACAGAACATCTCTTCTGCAAGAAAATATTTGGCGATCTTTTGATTATCAAAACTTCAATATTTTGACAATGTTTTTCTCTCCACCAGTCGGCCTGCGTTTTTATTTTTTTTTGGTTCAAAAGGCAAATGGCAGCATATTGTCACACAGAGTTACCATGTTGAATCCCAGAGTTTTCCTTTGGCTTTGTTGACTCACAGCAGCAGAGGGAAATGAGATATGGACGCCTCTCTTCCTCCGCTGCTGCTGCTCCTCCTCCAGTCTTGGCCCACTCGCATCACTTGTTTCCTCTCCTTCCTCCCTCTTATCCTCTTGTCAGCCAGTTCACTCTGTTCCCTCTCCGAGAAGTGCTTAATTGATATTCTTTTCTACCTCTCAATGCCCCCGCCGCCCCCACCCCTCCACCTCTCTCCGTCTGTCTGTTAGGTGTGTTGAGTCAGTTCACCCTCATCCTGTGGGGTACGGGACCCAGCGTCGTCAACCCATCATCGCCCGACTTCCCTCGGCCGTCCAACAACAGCTGCAAGACATTTGACGCCCAGCAGATTTGTATCGGTGAGAGCACTCGGGGGCTTGGGCTGACACACGAACTCCGAACAGGAGCCACTTAAGTTGAATGGGCTCATTTGCATTGGCGCCGGCACACAGTCATTGTTACAAAACAAGCTTTAGTTCAGACCGTGTTGGGTGTTTCAACTCGCGAAAAGTGAATGTTATGAATACAGATTGGCCATTTACAAGCCTCTTGTGCATCTGTTTATGTGCGCGCGATGAATATGCACGTCGCCATATGTCATGTCAAAGTGTGGGATGTAGCGCGAGCAGCAGGGGAGACAAAGATTGCGTCAGTGCAACAGGTGCACGCCGGCAACAATTGTCGAGGAGGATAACTTTGTCAGAGAAAGGCAAATGAGGTCAGGAACTTCTTTCTGCTTCCAGTCAGACGCTTTCTTCGCGTTAATCTTAATCATTCCAGACTTCTTAATCTTTCAGATAAAATCTACATTACATTTTTTAATTATTTAGTTTCCACATCGTCAGGTCTCCTAATAACTTCCAAGGAATAAACTCTGAGGTTCCTCGAAAGGACGAAAGAGGAAAAAAAAGGATGTTCAATTGATGCTACGACTCACTTTATTGCTTGTGGCCTTTGTTCCGCAAATTAGCCGTCTCGTCGGTGCAAAGGAAAGCAGTCGGAAATGCAAAATTTGTCATCCAGTGTAGCTGTAAATTAGAGGCAGGCATATAATTAAATCAATATAAAGAATGAGGTTCCCAACAAAAAAAACCTGGATGTTAAAACCAGCAGTGGGCAGATTGATTCCTCCACCCCCAACGTTTCTATTCCAGGATCGATTCTAATATCAAAAGACTGATATCTAAACTCAGCAATTTGGTGTAAATGTGTATTTTATCATCAACAGGGGGAAAGAGTAGAAAGTAGATACGCTGCCAGCAGGATCTAGTCAGAGCAGCAGCCGCTTTCATAGAAGCTACTTCTCTTTCTGTCATGGTCAAATGTGAAATACGGTGCCATAAATGCGTGAGCCGGTCTGAAGAGAACAAAACGAAAGGTGCTGCCGAGGTGAGAGACTTCTATCTCTGAGTGTTTTTCGCAGTCGCAGGCAATGTCCTGATACAGAGAAGCAGAGTGTAGCTATGGTGACACGTCTCACGGTGATTCATGACCGTCAAGGCTTCGTGTTGACGATCAAACAGCGCTTCTTCTGTTCTTCAAACTACGGATTGCTATTTTTATTTCCAAATTTGTGTGACAGCGCTGTAAATAAATATGATTGTGAAGTAAGGCAGAGAAAAAAACAAACAAGCCACAATAAATAACTACATAAAGATCAGAGCTGCAACTTTTGAATGTAGTTTGAGATTCGTGTCCCTGGGATCACCTCGCATCGATTCCATTAATATTTCTCGTTTGTGTTATTATTTTTCAAGGCCCGGCGTGTATTCCGTATTGGCAATTATCCATTTTATGCTGTTTACTGTAAAAGCAGTATAACTTACCTAACTGAATTGAGGCCTGTGAGCTGCCAGCGATGTTCACTTCAACCATTTGTTCTGACAGCTGACAGATATCTGACGGATTTATCGTGGCGTTTATGTATTCCATTATATATCTCGCTTGCGTTTTTATTTAAATTGCATCCCGTATTGAAAAGCAGGCCCCGCGTAACCCGTTGACTCCTCTGCTCTTCTTCTAAAGCAGCTGGTTTTATTGTGAGAGGCTGCACACACGGCTAAAGCTAAATAAGATTTAGCATGCAGCTCAGTGTTGCTCAAACAGTCGTATTTGTATAGTTTGTAGATCGGCCGCCAAGAGCAGCGACATACACAAGACGCCTGTGGGATGAATCAGATCCGGCCTTCTTCTTCTTGTGCCGCGTTTCTGAACACGTGAAGCTTTTCTACAGTAGCTGTACTGGAGCTGGGGATGGCAGCCTGGGTGTTAAAAGGTGTTGGATTGCAACGGGGAGAAACAACTGGTATCACACATCACTAATTAAAATGTATAAATGGGTTTCAGTTCTTCCAGCCGTTGGGATTTTAGTCGCTCTCTTTTAATTTCCTTTTGGAAATTAACAAGTGCATATAGTGCCGTATACACTACCTGTTTTTGTTACATAAACTCTCCAGAACTTTGTCTCCGTTAGTAGAATTTATGAGAACTGAAATGATTAGTTGAGTAATTAAAAAGTCAGCCACTTGCTAAATTTGAATTTGCTGGTTTTTCTTGTGTCCAACTAAATATTTCTGGCTTTAGCCTGTTGGTCCGGCAAAGGAAAGTAATTTGAAGACATGACTTGAGGCCCTGGGGAGCTGTGATGGCCATTTTTCACTGTTTTTCTGACCGCTTATAGACCATTACTTGATTAAGCAAGAAAAAGAATGAAACAAATTTGGTTGCAGCCTTAAATTGCGTTCTGTAGTTCTTTTCAATTAAATGTAAAAGCGTTAGGAGTTATTTATGGATGCTGTTTTCACTGTTTACTGGGAATAAATGAAGAGAACTAACCTCCTTTATGCTTCTATCTCCCTCTTAGAGTGCAGCCCTGGGTTCTCCCTCTTCCTCCAGGGTTGTGTGAAGTTGTGTCCTCCAGGCTTCACGTCGGGCCCACAGCTCCTCAACCTCTCTCTGGAGAACTGGGTGGACTTATCCTCCGTCCAGGCCTGCCTGCCCTGCAACCCCGCCTGCCTCACCTGCTCGGGCACCGGGCCCACAGACTGCCTGTCCTGCCCGCCCCACAGCCACCTGGTCCTCACCTCCTGTCTGCACCAGAACCAGGTCCAGCGGAAGTCCCCTCTGACAGGAGGACTCCAGGGTGATGGAGCACAGCCAGAGGGGGAGATCCCAGCGGCAGCAGACCACCACAGCGTAGAAACAGAGGAACCTCCGGGGCTCAGCGGCGCTCCGTCCACTCAGCTGCCTGCCGTCGTGGCCGTTCTCAGCTGTGCCTTCATCCTGGCTGCCTTCGTCGGGGTCTTCCTCTTGCTGCAGATACGCTCAGGGGGCGCTGCTTTAGGCTGGAGGACCAAACTGCCCTCTGGGTTTTCAGACACGAGAGGGGTGCGGGTGGGCTTTGGTTTTGGCTTCCGCCAGGGACGGGAGAGGAAGGCACGGATATGCTATAAGGGGATCCCCACTGTGTGGGCGGACGAGGACACGATCGCCTATGAGTCTGAATCAGACAGCGAGGAGGTGGACGGCCACAGCGAGAGGACAGCTTTCATCAAGACGCAGAGCTCAATCTAGCTGAAGCTGCATCTGCATCCAGATCAGACTGTATGGAGCCGAGAGGTGAAGCAGAAGCGCACAGGATCAGACAAAACACAAAACACAGGCCTTACTGTCCCATCAGCACGCCATCCAAACGCATTAAAGAGTCACTCATTAGGTTTTTTCATGTATTTATTTGCGTTTGTTAATTTATCTCGTTGGATTAATTCCTTCATGTCAGATGTATTTATTATGCACTTGATTCTTTGTCACCAATCTGAGGTGTTATGCAACTACTTTACTTACTTTTACTTTAACCATCATAACTTTGAAAACATTTCGTCCGACTCATTAAAGGAGACGTCCAGAGAACTCGCATCGCTCTCCGATGAAGCTAGAGACAGATTTTGAAAAAGGACGGTCAGAGTGAAAACAGCAGCGACTAAGGCTGTGTGAAATCATCCACTCACTCCCTGCTCCCTATCTGGGACCACTATGTAGTCAGCTATGTAGAGAAGGTAACATGTCAGACACGACTCGAGCTATAAATTACGTTGCTGGCCGTTACAGCGCAGTGTAAACACATCAAGGTCACAGTTTATTGCAGAGCTAAGAAACGGGTAAATTTAACTAAACATAAACGGGAAAGTACTTACATTTTAATGACAAGTTTTCGTGCTAGTTTGCATTTTCTTTTGCACAAGGCATGATGGTCCATGTTGCTCGGTTAGTGACCATCACTACTTTTCACGGTGCATTGTGGGACATTTTGAGTGCACTATATATTGTTGTAACTTAACATTCAGACAGCACTACAACATGGAAAACACTCTGTATGAAGAGTTCATTTGCAAAAGCAGATAACTCCATTTTTGCAGATTTTCAGAAAACTTATTTTTTTGTTGTTTGCTTGAGATAAAATCAAACTGAAGTTGAGTGGGGCTGCAAGGTGGCTCGGTGGTTAGCATCGTTGCCTCGCAGCAAGAAGGTCGCCGGTTCGCATCACCTGTGACCTTTCTGAGTGGAGTTTGCATGTTCTTCACCCTAAGCCAGCCCCCCATGACCCTGGTGAGGATTAAGCGGTGTATAGATGATGGATGGATGAAGCTGAGTGGATTTGACTCAGTAGAAATCACAAAAATAGAGATAACTTAAGTTTGATTGATATGGTCTCAGGTAGACGATGGAAAAGTGGGTTTTCTGAAGGTTTGTGACGATGGAGTTATCTGTTTTTGCCAATGAACTCTTCATATAATCCACTATGTAGGGTGTGGTGGGTGATTTCGGACACAGATTTCCTGAGTTTTAGTCCCACATGTAGGTTGAGCCCCAAAAACAATCCTACATTTTCCAAAAACCCAACAGCCAGTTCAGTTGGAGCCCACATGCCTGGTGATTAGAAAGGAACCTCTAACTCTGTACCTGTAATTTGCAACACTAAACTCTGAATTTACAGTCATGCTGCTGCCTTGAACACAGCTCCTCCAGAGTTAACTGAACCTGATGCGCAGAATGGATAAAGTGGCACTCAGATTTGCATTTAACTCGTCCCAAATGCGAGCACCGGGCCATCAGTGCAGGCAGAGTCCTAATAAATTGCTGTTGTTACATTTGATCAGATTCCCCACAGATCGCCGGCGAGGGCTTCTGAAGTTTCACTGGCTGTTAATAGTTAATAGTCAAAAGAAAGAAAAAAACTTTAAATTGAAGATTTCCGCAGCACGCTGGGACGCCACATTATGCCGTCCCAGCGTGCTGCAGAAGCATCCCGCAGGCTGTTTGATAAGCAGGGAGCTGTGGAGGATGCTCTGTTTTCAATCTCGCCTCGGTGGGAATTGCCGCAGCAGCATAGATGTATCAGATACATCACTCACAAAGGCTTACTGACTTGTAGTAGAGCAACACTCCTTTTTTTTTTTTAATGACATTAAAAAAGCACTTAGCCCAAAGCTGCTTGGCTGACCTTTCGCAACATTGTCCCACTTGGTTGCCGCTGGTGAGAAATAGCATCATTTTCTCTTCATTTTCTCCACGGAGCGTTACTGTATATTGATTTTAGGGGCTTCTCTCGCCGAAACATCTTCATCAAGGTGAAGCTCCCCTCCCTTTCCGTTGCCGGCACCATACATGAAGACATGCTTTATTTTTCTGTGTGTGAAGGCGTGGACGTGCCGCTACACAAATTGAAGCCTTTAGATCTTAAAGGCTGGAGCGGTTGAAGTGATTTAACAAAAAAAACAAGAAAAAGAAAAAAAGAGAGAGAGGAGGAGGAGGAGGATCTTGTATTGCATTTTCTATGTTTGTTTTATATCCTTTTTTAATTTAACAGATAATGGATGTTAATTTTGTGGAGATCAGTTTCATGCTGGAATAATAAAATAAAAAAAAAAAAACCCTTTGGCTGTTGCTGCTTGTGTCTTTTTACTGCCAGATTTTTATTTTTTTTTTTACTTTTTAGGGTTTTATGCATTTTAAATTCAGGCCTTGACACATGCAGGCACCACCCAAGAGAGCAGATGGTTCATCACGTCTTCAAGGCCGTACATCATTGTTGCGAGTGTGTTTCCTTCACTCCAGGCGTTGAGCTTTAAACAGGGTGCCAGCATTCTGTCTCCTCGCCGCTATCCAGTTGCAGTGATGCACATGCTGCCAAAACGCCTTCAAAAAAAAAATTTTTGAGAAAATCTTTGCTCTTGCTCCAGTACGGCGGTGGCCCTCTCAAAGTTTTACAGTAAAATAAATGGAGGCCTTCGTGCTTAGATTGCGTGGGGGGAAAAAAACACAACGTCTAGCAGCTTTGTTCATTAGCGGCTACAGAGGTGCAGGTAACTGGGTTCATGGGTGAAGGTACATTTATTCTGTGGCCCATAATTAGATCTGCCGGGAGAACTCGCTGCACAATTCAGTGCTCCTCGGAAGCGTCATGCTTTGCATTATAAATGTGTGGAAGCAGACGTGTGTGCGAATTGGCTTATGTAGTTAAAAAAAAAAAAGAGAAGAGGTAGATGAGTGTGAAAGCCTTTTATCTTCATCTCTTACATGTTTATGAGCTGTCTTTTTTCTTTTTTTTTTCTTCCCTCCATGCCCTTTAGCTCGTATTAATTAGCTGTCATGTCCTGTGCTATGCTGTCTAGTAACCAGACTTGGCAACAAGAGATATTACATTAATTAAAAATAATACTAACAAATAAGCTTCCCCCCCATTAGCTGATTTCACATTTAGATCAATTGGACGCTGAGGGTTTCGGTCTCATTATTTCAGCAGGTCACACGTTGCCCGTCTTGTTTGTGTCGAACCGGATGCTGAGGGTTGAAGTCTGGCTGTCGTTTCGGGCCTCCATGGGCGTCTGAGGGTCCCCAGGGTGCCTCTTGGGGCACCTCATTACTCCCCCCACACCCTCCCTCACTTCCTTTTTTCCACCTTCCACACATTCAGAACAGTGATCACTGTCAGGCCTCACTGCCACCACTCTGATCCATTTTTTTTGTGTAGAGTGGAGAGGGGGGAAAAAAAGAAAAGAAACATTTCTTTTCATGTTCACCTCCTGCTCAACTCCTGTCACTTCCACCTTCAGCACCTTCAGCTCAGAGTGGTAAACACGGGGAAAACTTGCTGCTGTTAACTGCATGGGATTTGAAGTGTGAACGCTCAGTTTAACGTCAGGTGGGCCGCTTGACAGGCCCGTCTCCAGACAAGTGGAGCATTGGGCAGCGTGAGAGGGCTGATATCTCACTATCTGAGCGGCAGCATCTGCATCCGTGCGCCTAGCCGCTCACGGCGACTCAATGTTGCCCCCTACCGATGGAGAATTAATTGAGCTGTTGACTCATCCTGTGGAAGGACCACAGAGCAGCATGCAAATTAACCACAAACCCACTAGTGCATTTAAAAAAAAAAAATCCAATTAATCGAAGATAAAGAGAGGCTTTTAAAAAGGGACAAACTTGGTGTTTTGATCTTTATTCACGCCCCATCTCTTCTGCTCGGCTGCAGCTTTAATCCACCGTGAATAACAAACACAGAAGAGCCTTCATATATTACCTCTGAACAAACAAACAAAAAAAACAGTGCTACATCACGTTTAAAAGGGGAAAAAAAGACATTTAGACGTACATCGAGACAGCGGGTGGAGGAGAGAGAGAGAGAAGGTTATAAGACACCTGGAGAAAGTGCAATTGGAGATGCGGTGAAATGCGGCCTGACAGAAATGTTAACCACAGCTGGAGGGGGGAAACGCTGAGAGACAAAGCGGGGGAGCGTTGGACTGTGGCGGGCCAGATGTCAGGTCAGAGGAGGAGAGCAACAAAAGCAGCAGCCCTCCTGTGGAAAATGGACACAAAGCGTGACACAGGTGGAAGCTGTGTGATGTCCGGCTTCAGCTTTGGACACACATGACAACATCCTCCACGGCCGCTGTGGGAAAAAAAAAAAAACAGGCAGAAACTCAGGAGAGGCTGAGAGGCCTTAACTCAGCCTCAGGGTAAGTAGCACTGTGGAGCTGATAGTAGAAAAAGAAGTGCAGCTCATTTGAAGAAACTTATTCTCGTCTGTGTTGAGGGGATTTCTGTGAATGGTGTTTGTTTTCAAAGGGTCAGTTCACCCAAAACACTTCAAATAGCCACACAGGGTGTAACGTGCTTCTACGCAGGCAGGAAGTGATGCAAACACAAGCTGCTCCGTTCGTTTCATTTGTGCAACATCAACCACACGCTCAGAAAGAAAACTAACTAACTTCCAGCCTGCTTCGAATTACTATGTGGAGTGGATTTGGGGCATTTTCTTGGTGGTTCATGTCTTCACAGCGAGGTCTGTGGATTATCTGGAGGCAGAAATATGTTCCTGGAAAGACTAGCTGTGGATTCTAACGCACCAAAAATGAAACTCAGCGCAGAGAAATCTCAGAGACAATCGTTTTGGCATCAATTACTGGTTTTATTTGTCACCGTTATGTCATTTATTAGGCAAATTGTGCCAAGTATTGTCGCTTTTCTTTCTTTTTTTTTTAAGCTTCTAAAATGTGTGTATATGCCACCGTCCTCTTGAAAATCCTTAGAAATGTGATATGTCTGGGTTTGGGATTGTTTCTAGTACAAAATAAGTGATACAAAAGATGTGATTTCATAGACTAACCATAACGGACTTCTCAGAACCAGCAGTACCTGCATGATGACACGTTATCAAGCCTTCTAAAAGTTGCCCTTTATTTTTTATTATTTTGTTAATTTCTTTTATTATATTGTGCAAAACATAAAAAATACACCATCTTTCTAGACTTTGCATACCATTTTTTTTTTTATAATTTGGGTGTAATTTGTGAGTGAACCGACCCTTTGATTTAAGTCACTAACAAGCTCCTTCCCCTGAAGTGATGCGACCCGCTGCTCGACACAGACAACCACAATATTCACCCAACAGCAACATGAATGGTCCCTGATAGTAAACACTTGAACCCGCCCTCCCCCCCTTGAAAACAAAAACAAACTCTCAAGTATTCACATGAACGTACTTCTACAGACACACACATACCGATATATCTGCTGTATGGTATATATGAGGTATAGTCTTTGCCTAGTCTTCTACTGCATACAGTATGGTACACGAAACCACCCTCACGACAGTGAAGTACAAGCACAGGAATGACCGACGGGGAGCTCGGAAGTGCGCGGAACCTTCCACGGTTTTCTCATCAGCAGAGAGAGAGGAAGCTCAGGGGAGGGCGAACAAAGAAAGACGGGGGGGAAAGAAAGTCTCGGCACTATCTACAGGCGGAAACAGAAGGTAAACAGTCATCCAGTATGATTAACGATCACACCGTTAGTGACCGGTGTGGAACCTCTTGGAAATCGGACAGCTTAAGGATTCGCAGCTCGGGTCTCCCGGCGGAGTTAAGATGAAGAGACCACACATTCTCTTTGCTGCATTCGAGTCTGTCAACTTAAAAAAAAAAACACACACACGGACATTAACTGCAGTCAGCATTACAGGTACAAAAAGACTACTTGCTGTGATCTGTGATCTTCTTCACTGCGTACATAAAAAATGTAAAAACCCATACACCAAATAAAGCTTTGTAAATTGCACTCTGATGTGGCACCAGTCCCAGCCCCCCCTCCCCGTCCCCCAACCTCATCATTTGGGATATTTACATTCAGTAGTTCAGTCCAGGATGGAGCGAAGATAGAAAAAGACACGAGTCTTTACAAAGCAGAACGAAAAGAGATCTCATTTTCGATTGCAGAGACAACCGGCGGCTGTATCTAATGAACGATTCTGGCAGTCTTTCTTGTTTTTGGAACAGCTGCGAGTTCACCCGGGTTTTGCTGCTCTCCGGGACGTCCTCGGTATCAGCTATCGCCTGCCCCCTGCTGTGCAGTCAGTCCTGTTACAGTGGACCCTGCCTCTCCGAGCTGAAGTGTTTGTGGTTCTGCTTAACAAAACAGAGAGACCCAGACCCCTCTGTTGCCAGTCTGTGGCCGGCGACGGCTTGGTTTTTTTGGTCCAAGGAGTCTGGTGGGTTTTTATTGCTTTTGGTCCGGACGGCTCTTAGCGCAGTTTGAGCTTGAAGGCGGAGATCTCCATGGGATCCAGGCTGATGGTGGAGTCGTTGGCCAGAGGCGTGCTGGAGTGCATCAGGGTCAGAGACATCGGCTGGAGCAGCTGCAGGTCCAGGTTCTTGAACAGTCCTGACACGCTCAGCTGTAGAGAGAAGAGACGCAGGGAGGTCAGAAGTTTTAGAGAAAATACCATTGATTGATATTTAGGCCTCATCCTCACGTAGCAGGGTATCTCACAAAACAAAGATATGTTTCTACGTTTTGGCGTTGTCTCTTGATACCGCTCCACGTACAAGAACAAAGGCGAAGGATGACGGTTATTTCCCGCCACCTTGCCATTCCACGTCTGAGGCATGTTCTCCGTCAGAGACACCGACGCCGGTTTTGGGTCAGACCGGGACACACTGCCAGCTGGTGGGAGAACTTCGAGACGGGAATCGTGCTCCCAGAGGAATGGTGCGACAATTTCTGTACGTCCTGGTTTTCGCTCCTGTCGTCGGAGTTATTACATCCTCACGTACAATATGAATGTGCTTAAAAATACACTAATGCAGTTAGGTGTGGATGGATTTTTGTCTAAAAACGAGGTGGTGTGTACGTAAGCTTTTTTCTAGACGGAGGGGGCAGGATATTCAGTTCTACAAAAACCCTGCTACGTGTGGACAAGGCTTTAGAAACTCGAGGTAAAAAAAAAAAAGTAAAAATAAGCACAGAAATATCATCCAGAAGGTTTACTTCAAGAATTTAAAGTTAAGTACTTCTTAGAAAGAAGGCTGCTGTTAGCAATAAATGACCTAATCACTACAGCTGCTGCACTGACGGTCCAGGTGGAGCTTATTTTACCTGCTTTATGTACTATTTCATACATTTGTGTGTTACGAGGCACATTGACAGATGTTTTGTATACAGTCTCAGCCTTGAACTAGCAGCTGTCGCTGTACACAGTGGAGAACAAAGTATGATGATTCCCTTTTATAAGTAGTTGGGCATGATGATAAATAAGCAAAAAAAAAGAAATATTTAGAGTCAAGTACCAAGTAATTATATTCAAGTGCAGGACTTAGACAAACAAATGAATCTCTGCTCTCTGTGTTTCGTGGAAAGTTTAGCAGACTTCTCTAGATTTATTTCTAGTGTTGTTGCTTGAGTTTCTGCGCTGACCTGTCCTTGTGTGGTGGTGCAGTTGAAGCCGAGGTTCTGCGCCTCAAGGCCACAGTCCAGCGCCAGGCGGTGAAGGATCAAGGCCGTGTGCGGAGACGGAGACTGGGGGTCCTGCTGCTCACACAAACACAGAGAAGAGCTCAGCACAGTGAATATCTAAAAGCACGACTTTGTACCATCTCATTGCCTCCTCACCTGGCTCTGGATGCTGCGCAGGTTCAGCATGTGGAAGTCACAAGGAAGGATGGACTTGAGAGGGGCGAAGGTCTGAAGAGGAGGAATGCCGCGTCTTTTGGGCAGAACGGGCAGCGCCAAGACCTCGTGGTTCAGAAAGGCGTTGGTCATGTGACTGAGTATAGACGGGAAGCTAGTTGTTGCGCTGTCCGTCATCTGGAGGAGAGCAGACAGATTTAAACGACTGTTGCAAATGGCAACGCACCCATAAAACATCAGTGACTCACCTCTAGAGATGCTCTTGTGCTACTACATGAGGAACAGGCTCTAATTACTTTGTCAGAGTAGGAGGTATATTTCTAATTCTAGTCCAGACAGACACAGGAGTGATCGCTGCATTGTGAGATCAGATTTTAAATTAGGAGCTTTACAGTGTTTCAAACTTGAGGTTTTGTGGCAGGCTGGCATTACTTCCCAAGTACCATCAGCAGCTTTAATAGAGAGCTGGATGATAAAACTGCAACCAACGCCTTGCATCCTCTGCCAATGTGTATTCATTTACTTGATAAATGGTATAATTTGTTTCTTTCAGTGGTGCTGTCATAAAGATGAACTGGTTTGGCTACTGCTAGGAGGTGGAGGGAAGCTAAAAAAATTTTTTCCAAAAACTGGAACTGGAGCTACAACTATGGACGCAACTATGACGTGGCCTAACAAGCATCCTTAGTGTTGCCAAGGCAACATTACCTCTCGAACTCCGTCACTCAAGATTTGAGCGAGGAAAGAATGAAACAAGGACGACAGTTTGGCAAAGAAGCCATCATGCTGAAGGTAATGGAGCGGAAAAAAAGAAGAGAGGGAAAACCAAATTAGAGAACGAAGAGGATAAAAAGACAGATGGGGTGGTAATGAGTGCTGAAAGAAATATGAAGAAAGGTGTTATTGATAACACAGAATGAGGAACAAATCCGTGCTACATTCGACAACCTTGCACAGAGTCGCTGAAGACCAAGTCGGATGGAGATGAGCTGCAATTTCGAGAACATTCGTCTAGCTTCAATAAGCACCTTTGTTGTAATTTCACCGACCTTGTTACCGGTGGATCTCCTCTCCAGCAGCAGTCTGAAGCGGTTCGCCGTCCTCTTGTTGTCTTTCAGGCCCTGACCCAGCCCACGATTATCATCTTGCATCAGCCGCCGGTCCATAATCACTTCAAGCTGGCCTAAAGGAAGGAGGAACAGGCGCAGCAACTTAAATGCGAAGCTCGTGTATCGACCTCTCCGTCGATAACTACAAGCACTCGGAGCAATCCGTCATTTACAAACGCCTCCATTATTCACATAACGATGATAAAAAGGATTAATTCAGTACACAAACGTGAGGGTATAAACTGTTTTGCTCTCCGAGAACCTCTTGAGGGAAAAAGAGGGAAAGATAAGTGCTTCAATACTTTCGCATAAAAGGCAAAAGACAAGCAAACAAAGAAAAATACCATGGATTTCAAAGATTACTTTCACAGAAAAATGGAATGAAGAAAAATGGCACGGCATTAAGTGAAATGTAATAAGGCACAGACCACTCTCCAGGCTGCTCACACCCAGCGACTGAGCTGTGTGCAGCGTGAGCCGGTGGTGGCTGTCCTGGATGTACGCCTGGCTGGGCATCGGGTAGAAGTTGGCCTGCAAGGGAAGCTTCAGGTGGAGTCGACGAGGCTGAATCTATAAGAACAGATGACACAATAAGTCAAAGAAACAATCGCGGTTACGTAATGTTATATTGTGGAAGCATATGAAGAAATATCGTTCTCCTCTGTCCAGAGTGCGACTGACCTGGAAGCCATTGAGGTCTGTGTAGAAGACGTCTCCGCTCTGGATGTCGGTGACGAGGCGCATGGCCAGCTCCTTATTGGTCTGATCTCTGATGTCCACCATGGTGGTGATGTCTATAGAGTAACCATCCACCCCTGAAAGTACAAAACAACTCAAACTTATGCTACAGAGGGAATGAAAATGAAACCGGAAATGTGGACAAAACACAACCAAAAAAAGAAGAAGTGATTTTATTTCTAATTTTGTGAAACATATGGTCGTATCATGCCATCTACTGTCTTTAAATAAACATGAAAGCGCAGCTGAGACCAATTTGGAGTGATTCCATTGTGTAGTTTGCTGTGTGTGTGTGTGTGTGCGTGTGTGTGTTACCTGGCACATTGTGAATGCGGATGGTCTGCTGAAAGTGTTGGTAATGTGCCACCACCTCAGAGAAAAGAGGCCCTTCAACGACGCGTACCACAGGTGGCTCTTTCTGGTTGTAGGGCTGAAAGCAGAGACGACAAACTGAGTAATCACGAACAGAATAAGTGCAGGAAATGGGAGAGAAAGAACGACAGCGAGAGAGTTCGTAGAAATCCCTGACAGACTAGGCGACTGGATACAGTATCGCAACTAAGCCCGTCTTTTTTCTTTGTTGTCTTTAAATCAAGAGAAGATGAAGCAGCACCCAGTCTGCCTGCATTCCTGCCTCGAGCGCCCCAGCGTGATACAATGACACGATACTCAGGGGAGACTCGATCAAAGCCCGTTTGAGAGGCAAGTAAACATCGGAGAGAGAGAATACCTTTGCTTTCCCATCTGGCAGGAAGAGGTAAGCTCCACTTTTGTCTTTAGAGGGACGAGTGCCATAGATCATGAACTGCATCTGAACCTTCACTTCTTGGGGATCATCTTTGCGCTTGATGCTCTGCATATAAAAGAAAAGAACGACAGAGGAAGACAGAGCAAGAATCGGGAGAAGGAAAAAAAAAAGAAAAAAACAAATTAAAGAAGAGATGAAAGGTTGTTTGAGCAGAAACAAGACATGTCATGTTCGCTTTGATCAAACAGTGAGAGTTCATATTACGAAATCAAACTCGTGGCTTTTTCTCTCTGAAGATCAAAGTTGAAACAGATTAGTAAATCCTTAACAGACAAAAAAAAAAAAAAAAAAAAAGTCAACAGAAGTAAGATAAAAACACAAACCTCCAGCAGGCCGGTGGTTCCGGAGAAGCCCAGCGTCAAGGACTGACTGCTGATGTAGAAGGTCTGAGAGTCGGCCTGCTGGGAGCGCACAGGAAGCGGGTCGGCGGCGCGGGCCGAGACGCCGCGACTGGACAGCCGGAGCAGGGTGTCGGAGCGGAGCGTCATGGGCGAATCCGCAGAGTCGTAGAGGTGGAAAACGGCCAGACCGAGAGGCGGCAGACGGACCATGAAAGTTGCCTGGGTGGACGGTTGGATAATGGTTGGATATAAAGACATAAAAGCAGTCGTGCTCAAAAAGAAATTTAAAAATAAAAAAATTAAAAAATAAAAAAAACCCACACAAAAAGCTTGCTTTGTAGAAGTGCTGGCTTCATTTTCTTTGTTAATCGAAATGGCGAGTGTTGACCAAAAGGCATTCATTAAAAGTTAAAAGGATTTACACATTAGCAACAGCGCTGCAATTAAAATGTGATGAGCGATGGTGTTAATGAAAGCGTTTGTATTTCTGCCGTACATTTGAAATTCATTACTTTCTGTAGGTGGAGAGCATTTCATTTGGGCAAAACAAGTTCACACTGAACACAAAGGAGCAAATGTTTTTACAAGTGCAGATTGAGCATGTGATTTGTGCCGACTGATTTTCCTTTTTCTTTTGCTGCTTTTGAGGCCTGAAAGAAAACCCCATCTGTTCTAGTTGTTGGTGCAAGTAAAGGGAAAAAGGAGGAAAAGTATAACTCTGAAACAAACGCTTTAATTAAAATTGCATTCTAAATACTTCTAACGCTAATTGGACATTAAGTACATAACGTACAGTACATTTCCAGGGAAAAGCTTTTCTCCAGAGCAGCTTAAAATTTTCACCCAGGCACCAAACACAAAGGGACATGAATACTTTGTTTTTCTCAAACCAACAAGCTCACGACTCTTTAACTTGAGCTACTACAATTCAACAATTTTTTGTCATGCACAAGGCAACGTGTGCAGAAACATGTAATTGAATGTCTGTTAAACAGTATCTGAATTGTGTTCGTTTCTCTGCATGCCAATATTACCTATGGAGCCTAATTCACAAGGCAACAATAGCGCAGTCATACTTAAGAGAGTGCTCCACCTGTTTAGCATTGCACTCCTATAACGCTGTCAAACCTACAAGGACTTGTTTGAAATCGGCTCCCCTTTAAAAGCCACAAACGAGCATCTCCTGTGGATTTGCAGCTAACACTCTCTCTTAACTAGATATGTCTTTCAGTGTCTTTGGGGACTTTCTCTTCCAAGTTAGGCATGATGCCATAATGATTGGATATTTGCGGCTGAACGGATGCAGTGCAGACAGTAACAGAGGACTTGTGTGGAAACTGCTGCTGTGCTACAGATACGCCTCCATCACTGTACAGAAAACAGCATCCTAATGGATTTAGTATCTTACCTCAAACACTTCTGCACTCATTTGACTAGCAGAGCTCCACTGAGCGCTCAGCTGCACGGGGAGGGTCTGCCCGTCCTCGGTAAGCACCCGGACCCTCACCGTGTTGACCAGCACCGTCACCACACACAGCCGCTCCTGCTCGATGGGGTTGAACAGAACCAGGTACCTGGCGGAGAGAATGGAAAAGCAATCATAAGCACAGGATGATGTAGGAGTGGCTGAGAGAGGAGGAGGCGGAGGAGATGAAAGATACGGGGAGATGCAGATAATACCTCGGTCCTGCTGGATCCAGCTCGATTAAAGTGCGCTGAGGCAGAGAATCTTGAGTAGCACGCCTGTCATCCTGCAGAAAGAAAATATGACACGGGGAGCACCGTGAATACCCAAAAACAGCACAAATATGCTTTTTCTGTTCATGACACGATGGCACGAGGCTTCTCTTGCGTTTCCGCTTACCGTCTCCAGGAAGGGCTCCGTCTGGTAAAAGCGATAAAACTCTTTGTTCTTCATCACCAGGAAATGAGCAGCATTGATGATTACTCTCTTCAGGCCGATAAGCGAACGCAGTAATCTAGGGAGGAGGAGTGAGAATTAATGGCTCGCTGCTGCAGTCACAGGAGACGACTTATTTTGTATGTATTGAACAGGCCAGTATAAAACAACCACAGAGTAACGGGATTAAAAAGAGCCCCGTTTTTTTCTATTTCACCTAAATGATTTCTAAGAACCTAATCTATACTGTAATTCCTTCCCTAAACTCTCTTACTTGGTGCCATAGTCGATGACGACGTTCTCCTTCGCTGTGCCAGTAATGGCATCGTGGTGCTGGAAGAGGCCGACCGACCGTCTCGCGTCGACCAGCAGGGCATAGTCTGAGACCGGGTAGCGCCCTTCCATCCCTGCATGCCGAGCGTTCGCAACCGCCAGGCTGTAGAGGATCTCTGCCCCCCTGAAAAACAATGACAAACCATAGTAAGACACAGTCAGATAAAGGTGTGTTCACAATATCAGCCTATGTTAAGGTTGCTGAAAGTTTAAGTTTAGGTTGAACATGAGCATTAAAAGCCCAACAAGTTGTTTTAATAACATACAAACAATATGCTCCCACACATAAAGACTGACTGAAATTATACAGTATTCTGAAAAAGAGGCATTCTATGTTGCATTCTGTCTTATAGGCCTGTTTTTCTGATGCGTGGAATGAAAACCTACAGATATAAACAGCATGGAACACCATTACCTTTAGCTGTTTTGTTTTTGTTAGCTGGTTTTGTTGTCTAGCTAAAAGACTAGCAGGTTCCAGTCCTCTGTTCTAATTTTGGACCGTGGGTTTAATTTGTACACAGGCACATGTATATGGCACACCTCCTTCTTGTATGTAATGCAAAAAAAAAACAATTCTGTGATCCGCGCTTTAATCTGCCTCACCTGAGATGCGACTCAATCACACGGTCCAGGCTCTTGTAAAAGGGTCGAGAGGTGAAGTAACCGGTCCAGTAGTGGTCCTCGCGGTCTGCGTAGGCGAAGAAATCTCCACTAAGCACTGGGTATTCAGCGGGCCTGGATCCCTGGGCGACTCCATGTTTTTTGTACACAGCGCTGAAGTAGTCAGTGAGAGTTCCAAACTGAGCCTGGAAGGTGGTGAGAGGAGAAAAAAAAAAAAGCCCTTACTCAAACACAGCTGCACAGAAGAAATCAAAAAAAAGTCTTCCATTATTATGCATGAGCTTTTCATCTTACATGGCATCTTATGAACCAAACATCAAGTCGTGGCAGATCCTTTGTTCTGTCAGCAAGTTAAAATGCCACTGCATGATTCATTATTCACAAAAAAAACGACTGTACGCCGAGACACTTTGTATACCGCGCATCGAGATGCACGAAAACAATGAGAAAAGGTGTAAAGAAAAAAATAAAAAGGATATTTGGCAACATGATTTGTGATAGCTGGCAAATTATTTTCTCACTTGAACATGCATCTCTGGGTGAGAATTCATGTAGTCAAACAGTTTCTGGTAGTTGATGTACTGCTGATCCCACTCCAGGGCCTTGTCATAGCGGAAGTCGTCTCCCAGAGGAACGAGAAGCACCTTGCTGCGGTAGAGTTTGGACTTTTTGCGGTACTGATCCAGGAGCAGGTGTGCCCTGATTAAGAAAGAGGTAAAGAGGGAGGGGGGAGAGAAAAAGGGGAGAAAAAAAAAAGTGAGGGGACATATTTCTTGGCATCCAAGCTGCTCTGCTTTGCATACGGCAGTTTTCTACGAAATCACTTTGACCTTGGAAAGTGGAGGAACAAATTGGCCCGGGGGGTATTTTTCACTGAAATATGTCCTCTGGAAAGTTCTTTAGGTCCGTTAAAAGCTGCTTAATGTGACTGCAAGACTATCAGCAGTCCATGTCCGTCTCCCTGCGTTCATCCACCCCTCTCTGGCTGTTGTCACTGGCTCAAGTTCAAGTTGAGTTTATTTATAAGGGACCATTACGGAAGAGACACAGTTGCAACAACAGTGACCAATCTGTTTTGTGGCTGTGTGAATGTGTGCGTCGTTGGAGCCGAATACCAATGCTACACAAAAACTACCAACATTGGGAACTTAATCCCCCAATCAACACTGGATTTTTAAAATTAAATATGCAACAAACGCACGCTTTTAATTAGTTTCACTTGCATTTGTTTATCCAAGGTTGGACCAAGATATATACGAAGGGGGACATGTTATGGTTAAGAATTAAACTTGATGCTCTCTAATGGATAAATGGCGTCATGGAAACAAACTTCTAAATGACCAGAATTCTTATTTATAAAATCATCCAACATGAATACTGCAGCAGAGAAGAACAACTTTTTTGTTTCAGAATTATTTCTCAGTTGATCAATCAATTGTTGCTCTATAGAACAATGTCCACGTCCCGAAGAACAGCCCAGTATCTCCAAAGTTCTCACCTCTCTGCTACATTGGCCTCCACCACAGTTTTTGGTGGGACCTTCCAGGGGCAATTTATCCGCCCGCCTGGTAACCTCTTGAAGTCGAACTGGCAGCAGATTTTGGGATCAGGCCCACATGTGTGAGGCACATCATAGCTGTAGAACGGCATCATGTGGCAGAAGATGTCTGTGCTTGATCCAGAGTCTGTTACGGCAGTGAAGTAGGAAAACAAAGCACTGGCTTGAAACATCCATTACTGTCAGTAGCATCAAAACACCAGATTATAATTAATACAGAAGGCATGTTTTGCTCACAGAGCTCATTAACTTGCTGGCAATTTAAGTTCACGCCAATAGGGGGACTTTTTTTTTTTTTTTTTTAAGTAATTGACAATATTTAATTACTAACTGATCCCAATAAGAACTGGCAATCAGAAATTGATCATATCTGACATATCAGATTTTTTCCATTAAGAACAAATGAACAGTAAATCTTTGGCAGACGTCCAATTCATTCGGAAATAATAATGAATACAGCTCCACTGAGGCCATTACAAATGGGTTGTCCTTCCAAAATTTCCACTCTCTTTCAAATGCCATGGCAAGTGGCATGACTCATTCTGCAATGAGCTTAACAAAGATAAGCACATGAATCAGATGACATCGCTGGCTCTGGTCCACTCACCCCAAGCCTGCCTCCACATAAACTCCAGACTGCGGGTGGAGGCAAAGTGTTTTTTAATGGAGTAGTGGACCCTCTGGATAAGCATGCTGGTCAGGTTGGCTCTCTTCAGCAGATAGGGCATAGTGGCACTGTGACCAAAAGGGTCTACCGCCCACCCGCTGCGAGGAGTTACACCTATAACGGCAAGCAAGAAGCAAGTATTTAAGGTGTATGCTCTCATAAGGAAAGAAATGCATCTTTGAGGAAATCACTTCCCACAGCGGGGATGCACCGAAAGTAGCACAAAGCATTTTATCACCCACTGAGTGAGCGGCTACGTCTGCTCCGAGTGGGATGACAAGCACAGATTTCATTATCAAGCGCTGTGAGGAGTGGTATAATTTTAAGCTTAGGCTGATGTGAAGGTCCTAAAATTTCACAGGCAGAATTGAGCTGCTTAAACATCACCATCGGTCCTCTGAATATAAATACAAGTGGGTGTAAAAGGAATTATTTATGACCGACTATATACCTAGATTTCTCTCCAGCCACTGATGCCCCTCAATGAGCTGGTCTATCATGGCAAAGTAGTGAACGTTGGCTTCATCAGTCATCACCCAGCCTCCTGTCACAATCTCGAGCTGTCCCCCAAGGATCAGTCTGTCGAAAAGAAAGGATTAAGAAAGCAAGGTGAGGATAATCCAGCTCTAAAGAGGGATAGTCATATTAACGAGATAACAAGCTATTTTTAGAGCTTCCACAATCTGCCAGAGGATACTACCCACTGAGTAAAATACTGTACTTAGGGCCAGTCCGCATCAAAGAACTTTCAACTAATTCTCTGATTTTTGAGGGGAGATAAAAGAAAGAAGAAAAAAAAAAACAGTGTGCCTCAAATAGCTGTGACTCACTTGCGCATGGCCTCCTGTTTGTGTATGTCTGCAGTCTCCCACCACTTGGAGAAGAATGAAATCTCAGACCAGATGAACTTCCTGCGAGGATCCTCAGCCAGTTTCACAACCATGTTGTTTAAAATATGTTGCGTCTGGTCTGTGAAGTACTTGTCAAAAGTCTTGATCCAACCTAACAACACAAGAGGATAATTCGAAGCAATCTGCGCAACAATTGGAACACATTTTCTCCACTACAAATTGGACTATTTCTGAAACAACACACTCCTACCCATCCTTAGCTAGGCAGCTGATAAAAAAAAAACACACCAAGAGAGGGCAGGTAAAAAAGACTTGATGCTGAGGAACAAGTACTGCCATGGATCAAAAATAAAACTCATATTTTATTCAAGTCGAGCTGTTCCCCTCAGAAAGCCATTTAGCAAAGTGTCTTCCAAGAAAGTGGCTAAAAAGCACTTTTTTGCACTTTGAATGTGCAACAGTGTCAAGTCCTGCAGCCTACAACCACGCTATAGGATATTTATCTCACATGTTGTATGTTATAGCGCTAAAAGTGTGACATCATTCTGTAGTTCTGCAGAGTAACGCCACTTAAATGGGGATAATGAAGAGAAGTAGAACAGGACTGCTGTAGTTATTGAACAATGTGTTACGCATTGTTTGACCTGCTTACATTAAACCCTTACAATCCCTTCATTGGTTTTAGAGAAACGAGCCTATTACCAGCAGACCTGCTTTCATGTGTCTTTGGTGTGAGCTGACAACATAAACCCACGGTCTATAGACTTAAAGACACTTAGTGCTGCATATAAAACACTTAACAAAAGTCTGCAGCAAAGCTTGACAACATGCTGCTAAAACTGAAGCATATTTCTGCTGTTGATGGACAAATGTGTAGCTCCATGCAGCCAGTCAACATATCAATAACTGTCAAGTTAGCGAGAGCACGTGGCACAGGCTAGTAAACAAGTTTAATGGAAATGTCAGTCTAAAATAAAATCTCAGCCAATCCCATCTATAAATAGCTTGTTTTCCGACGCCAATATCTTCCTAATTCCATTGTTTGTGGCTATGCCGTCAATATTGTCACCATTATGCTAATAAGAACAAATGTATTCCAATTTGAAGGATTTTTGCATCCCTAAAGCTGCCCTCCCTCTCAGGTGAGGCCTAAAGTAACTGGCTTGACACTTTGCAAACAAGACGTTATTTTTAACCTCTTGAGACGATTTTAAAGTTGCACTGAAAAGCATTTAGCATTTGACGAAGCCTTTGCAGCTCACCTGGATCATTGTGGGAGTGAGGGACCACAAATACTTGCAGTGGGTCATTGTCCCATTCATCAGGTTCATAAGTAATGTCAAAGCCCTGTTTCCATACACCACCATCAGGGTTGTCAAACTTGAGAAGGTTGTAAACATCCAGCATCTAAAAGGAAACACAATCATTTGCTCATTTGTAAAAGCATCACAATAAGCCAACAGGAACATCTACAACAACATATATGTTTTGGCCAATTAGCCACTTTGTATTTCATCTGGTAGGTTTGCTAGATCACCTGAACGTCTGCTTGACCACTTCTGTCGACAGCAAACTGGCAATCCTGGGGCTTGACAGCAAGAAAAGTGGGGCGTCCGTCGAAGGGTAGGACCCAGGATCCATTGGCACTTCTGAATGGCAGGTGGCCGCTGGGAGACACAGCTCCTGTGTCTGTGAGCTCCATAACAGAGTCCTTTATGTGGCTGATGATTTGGTGGTTTTCCTCCAGGAGCTGCTCCAGCTGCTCTATCCGGTTCTGCAGGACCGAGATTTGGCTCTAAACCGCACACAAACAATAAATCACACAACAAAAGAAAATAAATCAGCTGATCGAAAGTACATTCCTCTCCTCTGTTCGACCAAACACAATACAGCAAAGGTAACAAAGACTAGCAGGAGATTTAAAGCCATGTGAGTCAGTACGTCTATATACAGTACAATAACTGCATAAATGGATGAGGCTGTTTGTATTTGGATACTAAAAAAATAAATAAATTGTACGTTTTATGTTCCTGGATCAAAAAAATCGGACTAATTAGCATTCAGGCCTTAGAGACGTAGAGATGTTTAAGTTCATTTACGATTCGGTGCGGCTTCTGGTGCATCAAAAAAAAAAAAGGCAGACAGCAGTGCTATAAAAATAACTGCAGAAAGGGACTTTCACACAAGATATGCACCATCGCTACAGCAATTATTCTTACCCGTGGAAAGTTCCCGCCGTTCTGTCGCCTTGCAGGGTCATGTTGGACTCGATCCAACATCAGATACAGTGAGAACACAGCCACACAGAATATGGCCCCTCCGCACACTGTCACCTGTTTCCTCAGCTTCATCCTTCTCTGGAACGGTCTTCTTTCCGGGGGGGTTTCAATTTTTTAAAAATGACCTTGAGTGCGGTGTTTTGTTTTTTCGGCACAGAGGAAAAAAAGAAGTCCTTGAAAACTGGAATGCAGTCCTTCAGAGCGCAAAAACAAATGATGGAAAGTGAACCAACTACGCCAGTGTTGATGGTTCAGTTCCACTCCTGCGATGCTTCCAGTCTCCACTCACCATACTGGAGACCACAGTGAAGGGGGCTACAGCAGTGGTACCAGTGGAGAGGGGTGCTAAATCAGCAATAGCTGGCAAGAAGTCTGACAGCTCTGGCCAAACCACAGCCACCGGTGGGCTCCTTCAAAGTAGCCCTTGTGCTCAACCATCCAAATCGATGAGATTGCAGGAAAAGAAAAAAAAAAAAAAAAAAAAAAAAAAACAAGCGCCACACAGAAGGGGGCTTAAACAGGGATCCTAGTGTCCCTGCAACATGATGTGTGTTGCTGTGGGTCTGCTTCACTGGTCCAGTCCCCACTCCCACAGCAGAGTCGAATCCCCCAGTATAGCAATACCAGTACAGTCCCCTTTTGCTCAATTGGCCTCCAGTGCCATAACAGTTTCCACACGAAGGCTGTGGCAGGGCAAAGGAGCAGGCTGAGAAAAAGACCAACTTGGCTCAGAGCAGCAGCTTTTTAATCAAGCCCGAACTCTGCCCAAAGCAGCTCCAGGAATTAAAATGAGACAAATGTCATTCTTCTCTCAGTAGCATAGTGACTGCATTATCTACTGTGGCAGCATGGGCAGTGCGTCTGTCCTTGATCACAGGCGCCAAGTTGAAATCACATTAGAGGGTCTTCTTCAGCTGTTAGGAAAATACTAGATTAATGAAACATGCAAAAAATACACATTCAGCCTTCCATATCAGGAAACAGAACTGTCACTGTCACAGACAAGCAGCACAAGTGAAAGGGTGTGTGAGCAAGTGAGAGACACTTTTTTAAGATCTGACAAGTGAAGCCAAACGGGAGGGGGAGGGAGAACATCCAGCTGTGCAGAGTGCCCCATGTTTCCTCACAGCACTAAAATAGGTGTGCACGTTTTCCTCTGTGTGCAAATCCACGATCATAATCCGCTCACTCCCCCTGGCTGGGACTATCTTAGCATTACCACACAGAGTTAGGATAATAACCTGGCACTTACATTTGCTAAGACTGACAGGAAAACAGCGTCAATGTCAGCAGGAAGGCGATTATTTCTTAGACCATCTGGGCCAGAATACATCCAACATGAAGGACTTTGTTGTAGGGGGGTGCCTGACAGATCTGCTGCTGCACTGCATTCATGTGACAAAATGCACAAGTGATCTTAAGCTGCTCACATGATGCCATATGAGGTCAGCAGTCCTCATTATTCACAATCTATGCATGTGCGCATACATTAACGATTAAACTCCCCCGAGCAGATTTCTGAGTGGTGACATCTCTTTAGTTGAATGACTTTTAGTCACCTATCACTGGGCAGCTAGCCAGGTGACTCTGGGTTGCCTCAAACTTAGGCGCACACAAATATTTGCATGTGAGCATTATCCCGTGCGAGCCAAGGCACACGGAAGAGGGTTAAAGCCACTACCTTCTTAACCCATTGGCCAAACTAACGGGCTCTGTCAAACTTTAACTATCACGGTTACTTAAACATTAACTAACGCTTGCTGATACCAATATGCAGCTAAAACAAGCTAGCGCTAGCTTCCGCATATGCCACCAAGTTACACCAACTCGACTGGTTTTAAAACTAGATTCAAGAGTCGGACAATGTTCGTGTAAGGATTGTCATTGAAGTTACTGATAATTCCGTGTGACCAGCAGTCACAGCTGTCTTTCTGTTCCGCGGCAGACGGATGTCGAGCGTTACGGACGATAGCAAGTGTTGGCTTGATAACATTAAGACAATACGTGGCTGATATTTCCTGGCTAACCTTTCACTTTCCACATAAACCTCGGCAAACATTCACGTACGACCTTGAGATTCTGACTCTTTGGGAAGAAAATGAAAAAAAAACTGACGTTACCCATCAAAGGAGACTATTCCGGAAGAGTGTGGAGCCCAGCAGTGTACGTGCTTTTAGCTCCGGGCTGACAGATTACAACTGAACTAGCAGATGTAGCTTAGCAGCTAGCGCCGTTGAGCTGCCGCAAAGGCTCATGGGAGAAAAGGGGGCTGCGCATCAGCCGACGTTTGACCAACAGCTTCAGCAGACTTTAAGATAAATGCAGCAACCTTTTATTTCCAGACCAGCGGGTAAGTTTGAGTGTCTGCAATGCGACAGGAGTTTGTAAATTAGTGAATAATTTTTCTATAATATAATCAGTCGGCCATATGTTCAGTTGTGACACAGGTAATGCCATAAACACAGTAAATATATATTATTATATTAATATTATATTTAAATACTGATGGTTAAGCATGAGTGCACTCAAGCCTTTTCTTTGTAAAGCCACGTGTTTGTGTTTTTGTGCCATATGCAACATTTAATCCCTTAAATATCAGCCTCCTGCTATATGCATCCAGTTAATGTTCACATTCATAATTTAAACATATATATATGCATTGGTAGCCTTATTTGTAGAGGACCTTTTGAAAAACAAAGTTACAACGTGCTTTACAGTTTAAAAAATAATAAATAAAAGTAAAATAAGTAAATAAAATCCTGCGCGAGCCCCCGTTTGTGAACTGGCTTAAAGAATGTGACAAAAAGAGAGTCCACCCAAGAGGTTCAGTTAAGTCAAATGGAGGTCATTAAGACTAAACGAACACAAAACAGCAACTGGAGTGTGGAAGTCAGCAATATGTGCAAATGCAAGCAGTGAATGGATGTGTGTCAGGTGTTGCTGTGGAGGTGTAAATGCAAAAGAAGGTAGATGCCAGATGGTCAGAAGAGAGAGACAAAGTGAACACATATGCCAGCTTTCTGCAAAAGTTTTGCACCAAAGCACCAATTTAAACCCCTCTTATGTGAAAACCTGCTTGCAATTTCTGATCTTTTGCCATTATTTGTCTGTGTTTAGTTGTGAAAAATGTATAGTTTTTTTTTTTTAGATTGTATCTTGTGATCACTTAAAAGCCTGTACTGTAAGTAGTATATATATTTCCAACATGATTGTCAAAATAAAATAAACAAAAGAGGAGAAATGTATAAGAATCCTACAGGATTCTATCTGAAAAGGTAAAAATTCCACAAGACTTTCTGACATTTTTTACAACTTTATCATCTACTGAGCTTAGTCTAACATGACCCTATTAGCCATAACGGTAATTCTACATTCATTATTGTACCATTTAGAACAACACAGTACTGCCCCAGATTATAATGAGTTAATTTAGGGGCTATGGTTCTACAAAGTAATCTCTATAAAACATTTACAGCAAGGTTTGGTAACAAAATTTTCTGGAAAAGAACATTGCAAACTTACATTACTGATGAAAATATTGTACGTGGGTGGTTTCCCAGTGCAAAATGATCCCTCTATGAGCAAGAAGAATCACATGGCAGCACACTGCTGTGGGTGGACATGTGATAGAAGGTCTCAACAACACCTTGTTTGATTATCTGCTCTGATACACCAGAGTTCAAAATACAGAAATCAAAGTTCTTTTTTGTTGGCTCAAAGCAGTCACAGAGTATTGCTGGATTTAAAATTAAACAACCCCCCCCACAAAAAAAACTGCTCTGTTTACATGGTTGAAATCGCCCCAGCACACAGCAACGCTAACTTCTGAATAGCAAATAGAAAAGGAACTGCCTTTGGAGAAATAAAAGGACCTTTCTCACTAATGCTTTCATATTCAGAGTGAGGACACCAGAATATAATTGTCCACTTCTCACCTCCTGTTTACTCAGTGGACTGTGGCAGTGACAGCTTTTAAGCGTATAAATATTATGCTGTAATCTACCATATAAATGACATGCTGTAATTAAAGGATGACTAAACACAAACACACCCAAGTGAATGATATATTAAAGATGATTTTTTTTTTTTAGTCAGTGATGTCTCGGGCTCATTTATTTTTTCATTTTTAATGGTTGTCATAATAAATACACAGCTCCAAAACTGGGGAGAATACAGCACTTTTCTATTATAATGCCTCCAAAGAGGAACGACTGAGTGGCAACCTCCTTTTCCGAGCCACTCAACTGTAACCAAAGTGTCTGAGACCAAAGCTGAAGGCCGGTCTGACGACTGCTGCTGAAAGCCAATAGGCAAGTAAACACCACCTGAAAAGCCCTGTGTGGAAAATGTAACAGTGCTTTGCAGGTGAGTCTCATTATCGTTTTTTTTTTATGGCTCATTGAGGAACTCTTTGTGTGTTTATGGGAACAGGTGATTATCTGACACTTCAATAATTAATTAGCTCACTGTGGGCTACATGACGGGAACAGATGGCACTGTTTTGGTTTTACTCCAATCAGAAGAGACTAATAACTTTTCATGAGCGCAACAAAAACATTCAAAGTGCGGTAATTAAGGTGTACGAGAGTGTTGTTTCCAGACTTAAAATTAGGTCTCGTTCCAGTAAACTACACCAGTAATGACAGAACTCTGTTCTGAAAGGCGTAATCTCTCCCAAAACAAAGTGGTGATAAGGAATAAATGTTTGCACAGCTGCTTTCGAGTTTGATTTTAGACTGTGGCTCTTCTGTTTGGCTCCCTGGTGTTGTTACTGAGCCTCGTGGATCTCCCGCGGATCTGTTATGTATGAGGTCTTACAGCAAACCAACCCCCGAGGAAAATATACCAATTGTTCATGCTGGATATTCTTCTAAATTAACAAAGCTGCTGTGGTAATATGAGAGTCTTAACAGGTGTACCTGACCGCAAGCCCTAAAGGGAACCACCTTGTCTCCACAGCAACGGAGCACATACAACAATAGTGCTGGGCTGTCCAGGTAAACGAGAGCTCCCAGGGGACTGATCCAGGAAATACCAACACTTATATCAGTGGTTGTGATCTGTGGGGCTTTGCTTCAATACAGACAAAGCAGTAAAGCTGGTTTTACAACATGTAGAGTTGTTTGTTTGTCATCTGACTGGTGTTAAAATGCAGGACAAGACTGAGAACACAATATGTCTGGTTTGCTTTTCCTCCAAAAAGTGAAAAATGTTCTATTTTTATTCATTACTACTAATAAAAACAGTAATCCACCCACCTGTAAACTGACTCAAGTTTTAATGTACAGCCAATTTATTTGATTGTCTTCATTTTGTGTGACCTTATATCTTAATGTATTGCATTTCAACAGGATATATTGTGGTTTTTACTCCACTGTTTTTGTCAGACAGCCGTAGCTATTGCATTAACTTTAACAAGACATAACAGACTAGTCACCCTGGGTTTGTATTAAAAGTATGTGTTGTATGTTTGTTTGTTTTGTATTACTGTAAGTCTAGTTTTTATTTGGCATCCTAAACTGTAAATTGGAAAAGATTTATAAGTAAGTAAGTGGTGAATAAACCTGATCTGTTACAAATCATTGATGAGTTTAAAATCAAGGCTGTTTTTTTTTTTTTTTTAGCTTTTTATCCAGACTTTGGTTTATACAGTCGTCCTCAAATGTATTCATACCCTGCCATTAAAGAAAAGGCAAAATTCACAATAGTCACTCAAATAACTAGAAACTGAAAAAAGTAATAACAAATAAAACTTTGCGAAATTATAATTTAGTGAAATAAGGCATTGCTTTTGAATTGTGGTTAAAGAAAAAAGAAAACCAAAGCTGTTCCAGATGAGTTAGAGCACTTTGCTGATGAGCAGTGGGCCAAAATCAAAATAGCTGTCAACAGGTGCAGAAGTCTGATTGAGAGTTACAGAAAACAGTTGATTGCAGCGATTGGCTCAAAGAGTTGTTCAACAAAATATTAGCTTACAGGTCCCATCATGCTTGTATGCTATTTTTTTAATTAAAAAATACAAAATTTAAAAATATATATATACATATATATACTCCAATATTACAACCTACAAGTGTGTGACACTGAGTAGTTTCACAGTGTTGAGCAAAGGTGTAGGTGAGCTGGTGTGCTCGAGATGCAGCGGGTGAGGAGGTGGCGGAAAAAAGCAGCTTATACATCACAGATGTGCACATTTTACAGTAAGCAGCCGTGGAGAGTTACAGCTAAGCCATTTTACGTCAGGAAGGGGTTATTTTCATGCAAAATAATTCTAAATCTGCAAGAGTTTAGCGTTTTAACGACCACAGAGGGACTTTAACAGTGCTGTTGGTAATTCATGAACAGATGCTCATAGATTGCTTTTTGCAATGAGTCACCAAATCAGCTGTAAATTCATTTATTCAATTCAAGTCATTATTGAAGAGTAAGTTAACAGGTTGCTGTTGGATGCGACCACCAGAACTTTCCAACCTAAATATTTTTGTTATTACATGTAAATTCTTCTGAAACTGTATCTGATTAAAACATGGTACCTCAGATTATTTACTACTGTTAAACTATCAACAACATTTATTTTTTAATTTTTTTTATTTATTTAAGTTTCTACAGCTGCAAAAAAAAAAATGTCATTGGCTTTCTGGAACCTTCTGTTTTATCACAAAGGATGTAAGTCTGTGTCTGTGTGGACTGGAGAAAGCCACAGAATGGAAATGTAACCAAATACAGCAGAGCTGCAGACAGAGAGGCTTCGGCTGCTCTCTTCCTTTTACGGTAAAGGAGCGTGTGGGTAGGGGGCGGGGTTTTGCGTACACGTCATCAACGTGCTCCGGACACCCGGAAGTTTAGCAAGATGTGACATGTATGGCAGAAGATAGCGGTGTTTCTAAGCTCGTAAAGGGAAGTTAAGCTACATATTCGCCGTACTAAGTTACGCAGTGTTGTGGGTAGCACCTTCAAGATGAGTGGGAGTGAAAAAGAAAAGGTAAGGCAACAATAGTAGGCGGCTTCGCGTGGTTAGCTTAGCAGAGTTCATCCAGATGCATTTGCTCGAAGCTTTTCTGTCACCTCGGTGTTGAGCCATAAAGTGATCGTCTTTGCCGTCCGTGGAAGCAATTGTCCTCATGTCCCTGTATTATGTCGCTGCTGTGTGCGCTATAATTTATCTGTATGTTTTTACGAGTTGAAGTACCTATAAGGGACCAATTCAACTC